CAACGAATGCGTCAGATGGGAGAGTCGGAGCGACGAAAGCTGCGAAATAAAACAATGGTTTTAGTCAATAAAGATAATAAAACAACCGGGAAAGATATGGGCGACCTACTCTCTACCAGGTTTCGCAGACCACTTCGAAGGGAGAAAATCTGCAAGATTTCCAATCGAAGCGGGAGTTTTCTTAATCAGAAACCAAGGATGGTGCCAATTTTCATCCTTGTTCGGAAGATGCGAAATGATGTTCCTGTTGGCGTTTGGATATGCTGAGAAATACCCCGTTTTCTTCGATGAACTTCTCACGCTTAGAAGCTCATTTAGCTCGTTGACTCCGATAACGTATCCGGCCTCCGCCGCGATTGTTATAATTCCAAGAATAGTACGAAGAAGATTGGGGGTAAATTGAGGAAGAGCGATTTCAAGAGCCGCTAGGTATCGAACTAGGGCTTCGGGAAGGGGAAAAATCAGCCCGCAACCTTTAAAATAAATCTCGTATACACAGAAGTAGCCGTCGCGGTGGCTTTCTGGGGACTCCGTGGGATCAGCTATTTGCGCCTCCGCCATAATTCCCGGCGGAATTCGGCAGAGTTCCTTCAATCATTCAAGGGATTGAAGGGTGCAGGAATATCATTAGGGCGGGTGCTAGAACGCCTCTCATCAAAAGACGGAGACTCGGGTCTATCGGAATCAGAAGTCATCGGGAATAATGAAAAACTCAAGTTCTAGGAAAAAGAAAAATTCGGCGAGAGAAGCAGAAGGAGTTTTAACCACGAAGAACAAGAGTAAAAGTAATAATGAAAAAGAAGGTTACCTTAGCTAGGTGATAATGATGGAACCGTCTTGGGAATCGTGGAAGAAGTGGGAAGGTTTTTCCCGCTTTAATAGTAAATAATTAATATACGGTCATGATGGCGACAGATGTCACGCGACTAAATATGGGTAGCGCCAAAATTAAAGGACTGATGAGATCTTGGCGGGAAATCAGAAGATTCTTCGGAACGCAATCTTTGGTCATTAAAGCATTTAAAGTCCTCCGAATTGGAATAGCACTTCGAAGAACTTGGTGGGCTAATTGTTGGTGTCGGATCCCGCACCAGATGTTCGGGACCAACCAAAGATTGCCACCTAATCAGGGTAACGGCCCATAAAGGATAAAGCCCATTAGATCCAAAAGTCAAAAGAACAGTTGAAGTGGTTATCACCATAAGGAGAATCCGAAGTGACTGCACCTCAACACCATTCCGGAGACGGAAGTCATGGTCAAATCGGTCCAAGGACATTTGGGCCAAAAGGCGAGGCCCATGAAGATCAGAATCAATTCAAATTCAAACGTTGAGCATTAAAAAGTCAAAGATCAAAACGGACACATTTAAGAGAGAATAATTGTACTTAATTAGCCAATTAAATGCTGTTTTTCTATGTATAAATATAAGGGCCAATGGCCATGTAAGGGGGATCTCTCTCGGGAGTAAGAAATACTACAGCAATTCTTGTAACAATTCATAAGTTTTTTACATATTTATTTTTGTCCCTCAAGAATAATCTTTCCTACTTAATAAAATACTTGAGTGTGTGAATCCGACATCCACACCCACTACATTTGTTGTCTTGTTTCTCCAATCTGTGTGGCCAAGGACACTGCCGGACTTGGAATTCGAAAACAACTTATATGTATTGGTTTTGTTATTATCATCTAAGAACCCTATTGTTAATCCTTTCTTTGACCACGTATTATCATGCCTCACCTATGGAGAAAACGTGGTCCAAGTCAATCCCTTTTTTGGAGAAACTATATATCACCTCCTCCTTTATGGAGAGAACCCTATTTACAAGCTCTCGATTTTGGCTTCCTGCTTCAACTTCGGGTATGCAATCGATGATCCTTACCTTTGTCACACTTTGTGTAAATCTTCTCGCGTCGGCGAGAACTAAGGTCTTGGACTCTTCTTCAACGTCACTTTGTCTTATGACCGTGACCATTTCCTCACCTCCCGGATTACCCGTGGAAGTGTGTTCGATCCACCATGGAGTTGCTTATTCCGATCTGCTCGTTAGATTTGGTCTTCAAGCGTTTATGGATCACAAGTCGAATTATTCTATCTTTCTTTATGTTGTCTTTGAACCTTTGATTTCCTTCCTCTTGTACTTGGATTTGTTTTGCTTGGATGCATGAATGAAAATCAAGTCTTGTTTTGCCCCAAAAAAAAAGGTAGTTAGAAAATGTTTAGTTTGGCAATATTAAATATGTTAACACTTAATAATCTTCAAAAAGGGGTTGAAGATAAGCCGCATGGAAACTGGAGTAACACTGGAGTTGGTGTCGTCTGAAATTATTGGAAATTATCTGAAGAACGGACAGTTGGACATTATAACCAACTAGCTAGATACGACTTATTTCTTTTTTGCTGTCTTTAACATTCTTCCTCGTATGATCTTATTCATTAATTCTTTTTGCAATGAGAACTATTTTATCATCTTAAATTATACACGATATTGTTCATTTGTCCCACGTACGTAGAAATCAAGTGACAATAGAAAGTTGGTCAATGACGGACGAGAGACGGCTTAGATCCTAAACCTTTTGCCATGCTTGTGCGTTTCCGAAAAACAAGGGCATTATTTTACATAATTAACATTTAATTTTATCATAAAACGTAGTGTAAGAGAATGAAAGAACTAATCACGTTCATTTTTATTTAGTTGTGAACATTATATAGTTATATATTTATATGCCAATTCTGAATTAGTACATTTTATGTCAAATCTTAAGAATTTGAATAATTGTGCCGTACAAACTAATTGGTTAGACTTAAATTAAATAGTAGTTGAATATAATCCATCATTGTGTAAAGTACAAAATAAATGAGTAAATTTAGCGTTGAATTATAGCGCCATGTTTTTTTTTTTTTTTTTAGAATACGTGTTTCGTTGTAAGTGTTCCCAATAATGTTAAATTTGGAAAATTTAAATGGTGCATTGATATATTCTTGTTATATTATAACATATAGTTGGGGTTTAAAACTTTAAATGCAAATGAAAGAAACTGGAACTTGTAGTTTACAAATTTGTCTACAATTTTCGTGTTATCATCAGGTTTAAATTTGATATAATGTGTGTTTGAATTATAGATGAGCATAAAATGCTGAAAAAATATTACCAAAATTCAGGAGTCAGCATAATGCAGAAATGAAATTAAAAATCATGTTCCGATGAAACAAAAAAAGGGTACACATAGCAAATGTACATGCATGTCTGCGCCAAATATGAATACAAGATTCATTTAGGGGTGTTGGTGCACGTCGATGTATCTACCTTAATATCTTAAAGTTAAACCATTCATTCAATAGATTTGGTCTGCGAAATCTAATTATGTGGATTCTATAAACTAAAACATAATTTATCTAATGGAATGGACTAAAGACAGTATACTGAACTTTTAGTTCTAAGTGACTTCGTTTATCTCATTTGAATCCAAGAAAAAATACGTACTTTAACAATTTAATTTAGTGTTAGAGTTTACATGGTCTAATAGGTGATACAAAGTGGTATAAATTTCTTTATCTAATAGAGAAAGCAACAAACGATATTAACTCTTACGTAACAATTTTTGTATCGCTTTTGTGATTGATAATTGTTATAATTGTTAAAGCGGTATATCTCGTACTGAACCGGAACAGAGTTACCAATCAAAGCCACAAATTTAATAAAGTTTGGAACTTCTTCAGTATTTGAGGCATTAAAATTTATGAGATATATTAAAAGTTTTAGTATATATCACAAAATACTAAAAAGGTTATTTGGTTTCTGTACAAAAAATAAAACATGTTGTAAGTTCAAAAGACTTGCAAAAGATAAACAAATACACATGAGAGTCATTTGAAATTCAACAATATTGAATAAGTTTCTTATATAAAATTAGTCACACAAAATAATCTTCTAACATAAGTTTCTTGCTAAGAGAACAAACGAAAAAAAGAACATGCGCATAACATGGTTACCCAAGTATTCAAAGAAACACTCGTCCAAATAATAATGCGAGTACCACAAGTTCCTTGCCCACCCAAAACCAACAACAATCCGAGAAAAAAAATAATTCCATAAAAAAAATTATTGTTTTCTTCTAAATAAGCTGATTTCTACCCTTTTCTGCATTTAAAGGAGGATTGGATTAGTAACTTCTCGAACGTTTCTTCCTCTAAAGGATTCAGAGTTACAGTGTTATCGATTAAGGAATACGTCTGTCAGTTAAGTAAAGAAAAAGAAAAAATATGTCAAATCTAGAGATATTGATTTCGATATTTCAAAATTCTATATTATTCATCAAAATAAAAATAAAATAAAATACCGCGTCTCTCTTAATTTTTTTTCAAATTGAATTAGGATTTTTTATTCTTTTAACTAGACATGGACAAAATATTCGTTAGATTCGCTTCGATTCAGTATTCGATTTGATTTGATTCGAAAAATCCGAATATCCGTAAGATTTTGGAGTAAAACAAATAGAAAAATATAATATTCAGTAAAACCGGAGCAAATACCAAATACTGTTTTTAAAAAAGTTGGATATCCGCTTCGATCCGTATTTTCCTATATATATTAGAATATATAATTATGTATCTATATACATATCATAATATAGTTTGTGTATTTGTATATTTTAGGCTTATGTTTTTTATGTTAAGATGTTACTTTGATCATTTTTCTTTTATGTTATGTTCTGATCAGTGGTATTTTAAACTAGCGGGTTTTGGTTTTTGGAATTAGTTTGATGGCATGCTCTTGATCGGTGATATAAAACAATGGTTACGTTTTTTTTTTGGGTACTTATTTTGAAAACATATCAGACAAGAACTTTAAATATCTGATATTTTCTTATTTTCTATAGTTTATAATTTTTTTTTAATATTTAGATGTATCGAAGCGGATATCCGCATATATCACAAAAAAAAATCTGGATATTCGAATTTCCGGATATCCGGAAATTTTCGAATCAAATCAAATCACAAAATCGAGTATTCGGTTGTGACGAATCGAATATCGAATATCACAAAATTTCCGGATATCCGCTTCATGCCCATACCTATTTTTAACACTGAAACAAATCAAATAAAATCCAAAAGTGTTACATGAATCCAAATCTTAAAGGAGTAAACTAGAGAGGTAAACAAATCTAAAACAAACTGAATTAGGATTTTTATCTAGTAGGATTATAAACAAATCTATTAGCTGAAATAAATATGGAACCTGTAATACATAATCACGAATTCTTTTTTTTATCTGCACATAATTTCCAAAAGTAAAATAGATAAATGATAAAACGCAAGTTTTTTACTTTTAACTATTAAGTCATAAGTTTCTTTGGAGTTTCTTCTATTGTAGTAGTAGTTTTTTTCTGTTAGAAGTTTATATAACAATAAAAATTACTACATGATGTCAAAAAAATAAAAAATTACTACCTATACATAGATAATACCGCAAGTAAAACAAATTGCCAATATTGTTATAAAAAAAAAAAAAGGCAACATCAGCATTAATTACAAATTCTAATTAGAATCCAACCTCCTATTTTCTTTTCTTGTATTATTCAACTAACCACATCTTCCTTCTGATTACCATAACTTACTATTCCTATTAAATTATAAAATAGAAAAATAATCTCTCTGTTATAAATACAAATCCCCACATCAAGTATTTTGCTATTCACAATCTCTGTTTATTTCGATATCACTTTAGAAACATGTCTCCGAAGTTTCTCCCGTGGTTGAGCCTAGTCGCTCTTCTTTGGCTTCAATCTTTCAATGGCACCAACTTGAGTTTCCCTGCTTATTCTTCACAGCTTAAAGAGTTTCTCAAAATCTCTCAGTTTAAGCTTAATTATCTCTCTTTCGCCTCTGACGCTGGAAAAGTCCTAGGTTTTATCTCCGGTATCGCCGCCGTTTATCTTCCTCTTCCTCTTGTCCTTCTTGCCGGAGGTTCATTAGGGTTTGCCGGCTACGGTCTCCAGTATCTCTCCATCGTCAGGAAGATGTTTACTTTATCGTTTTCTCAGATGTGGTGTCTGAGTTTCTTGGCCGGGAACAGTATCTGTTGGATCAACACAGCTTGTTACATCGTCGCAATCAACAGTTTTCCGGTGAACCGTCAAGTCGCCGTGGGGATCACGGCAAGTTATCAAGGTTTGAGTGGGAAAATCTACACCGACATGGTCCACACTTTGTTTCACACGTCTCAACGCGAAGAAGCTTCGGGTTATCTCTTGCTTAACTCTCTAGTTCCATTGGTCGCTTGCCTCGTGACGGCTCCTATGTTGATGAGACACGGAGGAGACAAAACGACGTCGTTTTCTGGTGATGTTAAAGTCGGTTTCATCGTTTTGTTCGTCCTGACTATAGCCACGGGGATTTACGCCGTGGCTACGAGTCTTGTCTCGGCTCCTGCGGTTTTAGTTCTTGTAGGCATTGCTCTGTTTCTTCTTGCTCCTCTTGCTATACCAATTGGAGTTGGATTGGAAGAGCTCATGTCCTCTAGAAAAACTCAACAAAAGGTACAAGATCTTGAAGCTCCTCCCGATAAATTTTATTTCGAAGAAGAAGATCACACGAAAGAAGAAGAAGAGTTTGAGAAGGAAATAATTGGAGTTAAAGAAGAAGTCGAGTGGACACAACTATGGAAGAAACTCGATTTTTGGATATATTTTGGACTTTATTTGTTTGGTCCAACGGTCGGGCTAGTGTTTATGAATAATCTTGGTCAGATCGCTGAGTCTCGTGGCTCCACCGCGACCAGTTCCTTGGTCGCTCTCTCGTCGTCGTTCGGGTTTTTCGGCCGCTTGCTTCCTTCGTTACTCGACTACTTCTTCTCTAGGTAAAAATCACTTACTTTTTTTTTTTTTTTTTTTTTTTACCCTTTTGATTAATTACAACCTAATCAATTATATTCCTTAATAATACAACCACGTTGACCTAACAAGGCTAGCACGTAAAATTATAACATATGTTGCATTCTTTGCATCTATCTACGTGTTTGGTCTCATTCATCGAACAACCTTCGACAAATCGACACCTTCTTTATAATCAATCTCCTAATTACTCGGAAAAATTAATATTTATTCTAATATTTTGTTTTACTTTATTCATTATAGGAACAAATACATGCCATCAAGTCCGGTTTCTATGGCGGGTTCACTGGTAGCAATGGTAGCTTCGTTTCTCCTCCTCCTCATCGACTCTGATATCGCTCTCTACATAAGCACGGCGATGATCGGCATCTTCTCCGGAGCCTTGACTTCACTCTCCGTCACAATGACGGCAGAGCTTTTTGGGACGAAGCATTTTGGAGTTAACCACAACATTGTTGTCGGAAGTATTCCCCTTGGATCTTTTTCTTTCGGTTTGTTAGCCGCTAAAGTTTACCGCGACGGAGCCGCCCTCTATGGAGACGATGGCAAGTGTTTTGGGATGCATTGCTTTCAAACCACTTTGGTATTTTGGGGAATGCTCTGTTCGATCGCAGCTCTTCTCGCCGCCGTTTTATATGTACGCAACCGCAAGTTCTATTCGCAGAAGCCGTAGAAGAAGGAGAAGAAGAACAACAAGAAGTTTTGATGGCAAAACGTAGCGTTTTCCGTTGGCCTCAAGCAACCGCAATTTTGTTGGTAGCATCCGTAATTATTTATTTAACCGATGTAAACCGGTTTAAGAGTAACCGACGGTCAGGTTTTTTTGTATATGGGTTAGTCGAAGATGTAAAAAACTAGATAGAGTAACAATAGTATATACATTGAATCATTGATCGAGATTTTATAAAGATCATTTTTAATTATTATTCTTAATAATTATTTGAGAGCAAATTCAAAAAAAAAAAAATTTGGCTGAGTTAGTGCTAGATCATTTATGTATCTGAAGAATTTAAAACGACTTTGTTTGATTATTAGTGGAAAATAGGACTTGACGAAATTTCGGGTGAGTCTAATTATTATATGCCACAATAATATTCTGTTGGTACGTAGTTGGTGTTCTTGTTGGTTCGAACGTGGGTTCTTATTTAAGTAAATTGGAATTGTAATGTGAACCAGGTTTTATGGGACCCCAACAATAATCAATAAACTTTTTCACCTAAATCAAATTATTTGCATTACTCTATGATGTCCAGATATTTTTATTGGTAAGTGATTTATTAGACGTCGGTTTTGCGAGAGTGACGACGTGAACGTTTTCACCCACAGAGGGGATCTAAACCAATATATGGTCGAGATCAAGACATGCATGATTTATTTTACGCAGCATTTAAGATTTGAGCTTCATACCTATATTATATACGATTGATGCCATCAAACATTTCCATTGAACGTTAAAATCCAAAGATCTAAGATACAATTGTTAATATAAGCTAGATACAAACACACACAAAAATACACATTTTTTTAACTAAGATATATATGATTAATTTTCATAATACTGACCAGGTGTAAATAACTTGGAGATGGATAAATATATCATTCTTTTAAATTTGTTGTCATGATCAGTGGTTAACTCCACGAAACAACTTACAATAAATGTTACCATACGTGGCCACTGAAGTGGCCTGGCCAATTTTACACTCACAGTTTTATAAAACAAGATCTGATGTATTATTAATTTGAATAGGTTAATAGTGATCATTTACTCATTAATTCTAGTCTAAACTCAGAGAGCCTTGTAAAAAATTAACCAAATTGCATACGGTCTTTAACATGAGTACATGACTACTAGCTAGCATGTACCATCTTGACCCATTGTGGTAGGTAGTACAAAAAAAATTTATAAACATCTTTTGAATCATGATTAAAATGTTTGTGGCCAATTTCAATTTCAAGGTGAATAGTTATTCGAATAGTGTCCATATATATAATTCGTCTCAAAGGAGGTTTAATGACTTTGCCAAAGTATTTTTAGATAATTTAGAGGGCAAAATGTGTAACAATTATTGTGGACTTTCAAAGTCCGTTATATGTAGTCCTTAGCCAAAGGATATTCTAAAATCCTATTGTGATATGATTAAGATATTTTGACCATTTAATTATTCATGTTTATCTATACTAATATTTGGGAAGTACATCCTAAGAGTCATAACTTAGATTTTGTAAGATATTACAATATATGCCATTATATAATTCTAATCATAAAATTTATTCCATAGTTTATTAACTTAACACAAAGACTGTATAGTTCATGGCTCAGAATAGCATTATTTGTCTTAGCCTCAAAAAAATGAATAGTTTTAAGTTAATAAAGGTTATAGTCATTGATTTACATAATGCGTTGTTTTTAATAAAATGATATTTATTACAAAAATGTTTTGTATTTTCAATTTGCTGAGAGACATTAAACCCTTTTTAACTTATTTGACCAACAAAATATTCTTAAATTTAGTATCAATTACTTGTTTTGACCATACTAGTTATATCTTTAATTAGATCCTGCTTTCTTCTTTATCTTTTGTTATCAGTTTCAAGAAGAACAAACTTACAAAATAAGAGAACCAGCATGGTTCAAAAACCAACTCACTCCTACAGAAAACAAAGCTCTTTCCCTTATAAATTACCAAAGACATTTCAAATTCAACAAAGTAAAAACAAGAAATCAAAATAATTTTCACAATGTATACATCTAAAACCTTAGTGTTTGGTCTTTTCGTTGCAACACTCCTCGTGTCTTGCAATGCGGCTGCAAACGCCACAATGCAGCCGCTTTTCCCAGCGATTCTAATCTTCGGGGACTCAACCGCAGACACAGGCAACAATAACTACGATTTACAAACCATCTTCAAGGCTATGCATCTTCCTTACGGAGTTGATCTCCCCGGCCATGAAGCGAGCGGAAGATTCTCGAATGGAAAACTAATCTCTGATATCATTGCTTCCAAACTCAACATTAAAGAGTTGGTTCCTCCATTTCTACAACCAAACATCTCCGACCAAGACATTGTCACTGGCGTCTGTTTTGCATCCGCGGGTGCGGGCTACGATGACCGGACCTCACTCTCGAGCAAAGCAATCCCAGTCTCACAGCAACCAAGCATGTTCAAGAATTACATTGCTCGTCTGAAAGGTATCGTAGGGGACAAGAAAGCGATGGAGATCATCAACAACGCTTTAGTGGTCATAAGCGCAGGGCCTAACGACTTCATCTTGAACTTTTATGATATCCCCACGAGGCGTCTCGAGTATCCTACTATCTATGGTTACCAAGAGTTTATCCTCAAGAGGCTTGACGGTTTTGTCCGGGTAAAATCTCATATATTTTGTTTTTCTAGGTTTAAGACCAGTAGTTGATATTTCTTTGAGTTATGTTCTTATATTTGTCGTGTTGAGTCTCTAATCTTTTTCTATTCTGTGTCCAGGAGCTTTATAGTTTAGGTTGCCGAAATATTGTGGTCGGAGGGCTACCTCCAATGGGATGTTTACCGATCCAAATGACCACAAAAATGAGAAACATATTGAGATTTTGTGTGGAACAAGAGAACAAAGACTCCGTTTTGTACAATCAGAAACTAGTAAAGAAACTGCCTGAGATCCAAGCGTCTCTACCCGGAAGCAAGTTCCTTTACGCCAACGTCTACGACCCATTAATGGACATGATCCAAAACCCTAGTAAATACGGTATATACCATATCCAATAATCTTCCTTGTTCCACAAGTCATCTAAATCTCAATCTCACTAATTTATGCAATATGAACTCATCGGTGTACAAATGAAAACAGGATTCAAGGAGACAAAGAAAGGATGTTGCGGAACAGGATACTTGGAAACGGCCTTCATGTGCAATCCCTTTACAAAGACTTGTCCGAATCACTCGGATCACTTGTTTTGGGACTCAATTCATCCCTCAGAAGCTGCTTACAATTACATTGGCAACTTTGTGGATGCTCAGATTCGAGGCTGGATTAAGGCTTAAGCCAATAAACATTACGAAATTAATCAACTAAACAATGTATTTTGTCTTGGGATTGACAAGGCACGTAGTTATGGCCCTATAGATGCTTTGTATTGGACTACGATTAGATTTTCTTTAAATTTACTCTAATATTAATATAATCTACATTCAATATTTCCCCATATTACAATTTTGTAAAAGAAAAAAAAAACACTTCTTTTCATTTTCTACGAGTGGAAAGAAAGTCCAAAAGAATGTTCTACAACTTATGAAAGCCAAGAGTCAAGGGACAATAAATTCCAATAAAAATCGAATTTAATGATCATGACGACGACATGTTGAGACGAAGATTTGCTGCATCGTCAAAGGATTAAATCAAAACGAAGAGTGTGACTGAGAGAAACGTTACGAAGCAAAGTAAAAAATGAAACATACAATGAATGATTACACGTCTTCATGTCATGTATAATGTAACCCCAACATTTACTCATTGCTAACTTCCCTACTTAATTGATATTTATTATGATTTTGATATCGTATGACTTATGAGTTATGATACAAACAAAACAAATCTGACGCATGATTGACGTCAGATATGACGCCATTCGGCCATCGGGAACTACAAGTCTCTTTCTCCAATTTTTAGGACAACCAAATTTAGCATGGATACATATCGTCTGAATTTACTTGTGTTTGTTTGTGTGTTCGACTTCTTTACTTTATGTCCTAAAATAAAAGATTGAAAATCAGAACAACTTTTAGTGATTTATGGAATTTTTTTCGTTCATTTATACACAACCTTCACTACTTACTTATTCATACTAGATTTTAATCTGCAATACACCGCAGAATGATTTAATTTTAAAGTTAGTATAAAAATATTTTGTAAATTGTATATCCTTATAACATATTTATTTATATTATAGTTTACAATTGTTATTAAGTAACAGTTGATCACGAGTCCACGAGATAATTATTAATAAACTGAGGATTTAACCCGTATTAAAGCGGTATATAAATATTGATTCAAATTCGTCCGTCATATAAATCTTTTCCGAAATATAACATGTTCCGTAATTTCTTAACCCGTCCCGTGATTTGTTTTTATTTTAAAATTTAATGATTTTTATTATATATAAAAGTTTACAAATCATATTATCCTCTAAGACTACGGGACATTATACCACGGGACAATTTTTGGTTTTATACAATCTTTTCTAAATGAGACTGATTTAATATGTCTAATATTTGTGGTATTAAAAAAAAAAGATTTAATCCGTATTGAATGGTGGATTAATGATATTTTAATCTTTTTATTATTGTTGATTCAAAAACTCATCCCGCCAAACCCGTCCGGCAAAAAACTCATTTATTTTATTAATGTTCTTATTTATGATATGATTCTGAAACATTGTCTAAATATTTTAATCGATGTAGAACGTTGAACACACATTTTCGTCAATTGGATAATATATGTCCGTTTTTAAAATTTCGAATCACAATATATGTAGAAAAAAAATTGATTTTTTTTTAGGAGAATCATAATTATAAATCTTAATCAAATCTTCTAAATATCTAAATTATTAAATATTGAATATCCGGTGTATGAGTTGGGTTAAATATAACCCGACCCAACAAATTTTTTGTGAAGGATTTTTTGAAACGGGTCGGATATCCAAATAACCCGGAAGCATTTTTACCCACCCGTCACCAAAGTGTTGCAAAAATACTAGTATAGATTTGTCTACGAAATCATGTTTACTTGTTCCAGATGAGCCAATAATCTTAAGAGAACTTTGTGTTTGCTTTTACAATTTACAACAAACAAACAAAAACAGAGAGACCTTAATCTGAATCAAAAATAATGTGAAGTGAAGAAACTTTAGATGCTTCTTATAAAAGTTTCTTAGATTCAATGTAAATGAAACAATAAAACATAAAACATTTAATCAAAGGTGCACAAAAAATAGATGTGACTAATGTTAAGACTCTCATAGAGCCTGATGAATAGGTACTGAAACAGAACTCAATTCTTCATCATCTTCTGTCTTCTTCAAATTCATCCATGGTTTCGCGGCTTTCCACTCCTCCCAACCTTTCCTTACATCTTCCAATTCCTCGTCTATCAAACCATCATTCCTATCTAAATGCTCCACCCACTCTTTCCATGGAGATTTCTCAGAATCCAAGAATCTACTCACCTGTGGAACCATCACTGCTCTGTAAAACTCCTCTATATCCTTCTCCACTTCTTCTGATTCACCCGTTGCTTCCATCCCCGGCCTCTCAGGCAATCTACGCACTTCGAAACTGTTTCCTCTCAGGATCAGTACTTCAGATGGAGCAAGAGGCAAAACGATTCTTGTGAACTTGTTTAGAGATAGTCTTATGATGTCTCTAGGAAGCAGCTCTCTCTTCACTGCCACGGCCGTTCCAATCATCTTCCGTATCTAACTTCCAAACAAAAATAACAATGATAGTGATTTAGTTACGCTACTATAAGCAATCCATGTTACTGTATCATTATGTATATATACATTACCTGATGTAACATGAATGATTCTCCCCATATGGAGATCTCGACAAAGCCGAATCCAAGTGAATTCTCTAGCTTTCCACTACGACATCGAAACACTTTTCTGAAATGAGCACCACTCAGCTTATCTGTCTCATCTGGCTCGTACAGCCATTTTGCACGACTGTTCACCTGAGAATTATCAGAATCAGGAGGAACATGTTCATCAGATTCGCCATCCATTTCTTTTTCTTCTTCTTCTTCAATTTCTCTGTGGTTCTCCTCTGTAAACTCTGATTCTGATGCTTTGATTGATTTTGGTATTCTTGGAGGGCGTCCGTTTCTTTGCTTTATTTTTTGTTCCGATTTCCTTCTGTATCGTGACCGCTGTGTATAGTTATGGAAAGGATATTCACCCTACAAGTAAAAAAACAATGCCAATGAAGCAAAAATGTAATAAAACATGAAGTCTCTGATAACCAAAGAAACGATGCAAAGCTCTCACCTCAAATTCATTTAGAATTTTATTAAAATCCGTAATGTGATAGTCAATCTCATCTGAAGTAAAGCTATTCTTGATCCCAATAACATCGACAGGGAGGAGATAAGAATATTTCCGCAGCGTACACTCCCTTCGGGGATCAAATCTCCTGTGAATATACAAAGCTTTTCATTGTGAGTCAAGTATGAGGTTGCAACCTATCAAATGATAAAAGTTCTCACTCACCTATTTGACGGTAAAACACTGAAAACTCTGATATTCTCGGGAAGATGTTTGCTAATGCATTTAGCAAGAACAGTGCCCTGAGGATCATCCTTCCACGCCGTCTCAGGGATCTCCATTTTCAGCGATATTGACGTTGCCAAAGAATGAACCTAAAACAAGTTACCAACAAACAACAATCAAAGACATACACAGTGCATCAGAAGACGATCATCAGTAGCTAATGGAACAGAGCAAAGAAAAAAGCTTACTCCTTTATCAGTTCGACTACTTCTAGCCCAACCAATCTTATGAAGATCACCATAGTTACTATCTCTAATCCCACCTGCCTTATATATAGCAACTTCCAATTCACCCTCAATAGCTACAAATTCAAGATGTACATAAAAACATGATCTTAGAGATGTACAAGGTAAAGAACCATGAAATTGGACATTGCAGGAAGTAATAGAAGAATTAGGGTTTAGGGTTTAAGCTGAGATTCACTGTCGAGAGTAAAAATCCAAACTTTAAGACGAAACACTTACTTTTGAGAGAAGGGTCGTCTCTTTGAATCTGCAAACCTGAAAATGGAGGATAAAGTCAGAAACTTTGTACAGAAGAATGTTTCAATTCATAATCAAAATCAATCAGGAACTAAAAATGTTACCTCTGTAATCAGTACCCACGTATCCAATTCGAATGACGACCTTCTTCTTCCGATATGATTCCCATTTATCGGCGAGAAAGTTGTCGGAAGAAGACGGTGAGAGTGAAGTAGACGACGGCTGAAATGCGGCGGAGGAAGATAATCGTACTAACGCTGGTGTGACCCGAATAAGTCGGGTCGGGTACCAGAAGACCCGAGAAGGAATTGGAATTCGTAGAAACGAGACTGCCATGAAAGAAACTGGGCTAAGTTTCTAGAAAACGAAGCGAACATAAAAAAGCTCCGGTGAATTCTTCTTTTCTTCTAACTAGGCGCCGGTTTTCGTCATATAAAACAACGTGTAGTTTTTAGATATATACTGAAAACATCACGACGTTGAGCTGTCCAAGGGAAAACTATAAAACCCTCTCGGCTCACCTCCATTAAACGCTCCATCATCATCACCTTCGTTTCTTCTCTCGCTTCCTTAGTCCATCTCCAAAACTTTGAAGATAGTAAAGTTCAAAATTTAACTGGTGATAGACGATCATGAATGATGCAGCCATGCATATATGAAGGTAGTGTTCTTCTTCTCTGTATGAATTAGCCAATGGGTTTTTTTTTGCATGTTAAATCAAATGGATCCTGAAACCAAAGTCACCAAAATGCTTGTTTTTGTTTTAAAATTAGCGGGAGGGTTTATTAGGCAAAGGCTTGAGACCAGAGGATGTAGAACAGCGTCCGGGTGTGTTTAGTGGGACGGTTGTTGGTTTATGTATTTTTTTAGTGAATCACTAAGTGTTCTGCTTCCATGGTAGGTATATGTGAAGCTTGTATATGTTTCCATCACCTCTTGTGTTTGGAAAAGAGTATGATAGCAGAGTAGCAGACGAGCCTAACTGCACTCACTCAGCAAAAGAGGTCAAAAAGGGCTAGTCTGTCTGATAAGGCACATGAACATGATGAAACCTACTCAGGCTAAAGAACAAGCCTATGAAGATGAGAAGTACGAAGCAAATCTCTTGAAACACTCAAAAAGACAACCCCGACAAATAGGTAAACCTGTAGCTAGACAAAGAGAACTCTCAGAAATGATCTTCCCGGCAGGGACATGATCGGTCTATACAAAACAGTCTTACTCTACTGTCTAACCAAAGAAATAACAAGAACGAAGTAAGACGATTCAGCTTGGTGGTGCTCAACTGACAAAGGCTAGAGTAGAGCTAGAGCAGTTAAACAAGTTGCAGAAACAAGTGGATTGCCTCAACAGGAAGTCGAGAACGATAAAGAATATACAGTAACGTCCACGAAATCGGCGGCTGTGATTGAAACCGCAGTTAACCACCAAGGAGACTGAACATAAAGCAAACACAAGAGCTCAAAGAAGCAAATGTCAGCTTGGCCAGCATGATCTCCGTGCCTGTTCAAGAAAACAGTAGATGTATATTCTCATCAGGAAACAGTGAATTCAACGCGTCTGAACTCTACGAGAAATTCCCAGAGGATCTCAGTACCGATTCCGAAAAGGCGAAAAGAGTAGTTCATGTTTTTGCTTTAAGTAGACTATCAAAATCCTTTGATCCAATCTGTTTCACTACTCAAACAGAGAAACACTAAAGAAGTGGTATATAACATCAATAGCTATAAGAACTCTATACCAAAAACACCAACAAGTGAATGAATTACAACAGTTTGCTCTTATTGATCTTCATGAATGTTGCGAATTGCAGCAGTGATTTTCTTACAATCAAACTCCATCGTCTTCATCCAATTCTCAAAATCTCCAATCTCCTAACAAAATCAAGTAACCAAAAAACACACAGATCCATCATTGAACAACTAAAGAAGACGAAACGAGATTTGAAGATCGTAGAGAATGAGAAAACCTTAACGGCGCTATTAACGGCGTGAGTGACGGCAAGCCATTGATCCATTTGTTTGCCGAATTTCGCCACCGTAACCGCAAGATTCCTAATCTCCGACTCAATCCGTTTCTCGTTCACGAAACACTCTTCCACTCCTCCGTTCACCGCCTTCACTAGCAGATCCGCCGTTCTCGCCGCGTGTCTGATCGCTTCCTTCCTCGATCTCTCTGTTTTCCATTTTGTGTCTCTGTGAATCTCACTTTTTTATCCTCGATTTTTGATCGGAATTAGCTAGGAATGAGTCGATTTACGTACCGGTCTTTTCCCGGAGCTGTAACGACGATCGACGATTGTCATCGATTAGCTGTAAGAGACTCGATTCCAATGTTCCAGTCTCTTCTTCCGTTTTCTCCTTCTCTGAAAAAGGTAACACACGCCCACGCGCCGCCGAGAGTGACATCGGCGTATTCAATATCTCTCTCTCCGGTGAATTGGTTCGTGTCGTATCGTATAAAACAGATATGTTCCAGTACGCGCCGTTTTTTTCCAAGAAAACGTCACGCATTTCGTTATAAAATACTGATTATCTTAAAAACAATGTTTTTATTTTTATATTTGTTATTTTGAGTTAAAAAATTAAGGGGGTGTTATTGGTTCCTAATTTACATGGAATTTTGATGACTTTAATAAAATCATAGAAAGTAAACAAATGAAAGATTTTAAACTACTGTTAGAGAGTTTTTGAGAGTTTTCTATAATCTTGTTGATTAGTATTTCATAATCTTGTAAAGTTTTCCAAACAATCTCTCTATTTTCATGATACTTTTCATGACTTTGTTTTGTGAAGAAAAGCGTAAAAAGTCATAAACCAATAACATTATAATTTAATTCATTAACAATCATAGATTCTTTTGTTGTAATTGAATAACACAAAACTTTTAATGACTTTGTAAAAGTATGAATCCAATAACTCCAGATTTATGAAGATTTTAGATTACTTTTTACAAATCTTAAACTAATAACACCAAACTTTAACAAACTTTTAAAAAATCTTGATTGAATAACAACAGATTCTACATAACATTTAAAGTCACTCAAACTCTATTTAAATCACAAACCAATAACACCCCCTAAGGCCATTTTTGAGAGTTTATAAGTTGTTTTTAGATTATAGATTTTGGTTTTAATATTTTAGATTTTGGTTTTTATAATTTTCCATTTTTCCTCAATGATATTTTTAGTGCTTTGAATTTTAATAATAATATTTATCTTTTTTATCTGCTAAAAAAGTTGTACTAGACTTTTTTTTTTTGCCAAAAAGTTGTACTAGACTTTGTATCACCAATCGGATCTATATATTTATAACGATCTAAGAAAATATGTACATATATACATATAGAATAATACTTCCTCCGTTTTATAATATAAATCGTTTTGAGTAAACTTTTTTGTTTCACAATATAAGTCGTTTTCAAGTTTCTATGCAAATTATATATATATTACTTTAATATTTTATAGTTATTTATATTATACAGTTTCTTTTATGATTGGCTAAACTTTTTAAAAGTAGATATTTTTAATCTACGTACTTTTAGTTAAAACGATTTATATTATGAAACGGAGGGAGTACATTGTGTATGTTAACAAGCAAAACATGTATGTTAACAAGCAAAACATGAGCTGTAGCCTGTAGCCTGTAGGTAATGGCTGGAATTAAGAAACATTAATGTAATTATTAAGAGCTTGTGGGACATTGTGTAATCAAGTAATACCAAGACTATGTATGTAATTGCGTCATGTGGTGACTCTGGTACTCTGTTAGGGTTATAAATAGATTCTGTTTGGGTTATGACCTTTAATTAAACACCACATTTAATATTAATACAATTAGTGGTACGTGGGAATGCTCGTTACCAAATTTATATTTTGGTCAACGCCTCCATTTAATGTTAAATCTCATCTAATTTAATAATTATAAGCTCATAACTTCATTAGTAGAGTCTCTCTTGAAATTAAAAGTTTCAAATTTTCAGGACTACAGTATATATGTTAAATTTCTGATTTAGTGTAGAATTATGTTATTTTATTTTTTTCTTTTTTTTTTGAAAACGAGAATTATGTTATTTTCAAGATATAGTATTTGTTACTTTTCTATTTCAACAATTAAAAATAAATTCACACTAATTCAACATATATTTTTTCAAAAAAAAAAACCAATTCAACATATATGTTATGGTTAAATTGATTTGTTTTGTGGGAAAATATAGTAGGAAACAAAACTTATTTACATAGAGAAAAGGAATCCATTTAAGCAATCTTACATATAGCGTGAAAGCAAAACCAACCCGGTTTCAAAAATATAGGCAAAAATATACATCATTCTTGTTATTGTGTAAATGTATTTTCAACTTCGTGTTGGTTAGTTAAATTGTCATATGACTCATGACTCCCATGATTCTATACATTCGTATTCACGTACGTTAGTATGATTAATGGAATCAATCAAAATGAAAAATAGATATAAATCAAATTAATCAAAACCCTATCCTTAACATGGATCACCATTCAATCTCGTAGCTTATGATAAGGGCTATAATAGCATTTTTAAAAAAATTAAGAAACACATAATTCTGATTTAATCAAAGTAATGAACATTATTATCACTGGACAGAGAATTACTGTATCCAGCAGCCGAAGACGGAGGAGGATTATACATAGAATTGGTAGCTGATGAATTAGAAGACGAAGAGGACGACACAACCATGGACGGAGACGGCAAAGAAGCTGGTGGCGTAGGCGGTGGAGCTGGCTGAGAGGACAACAACCTCGGTGGTCGTGGAGGAGGAGGCGGTGGCGGTGGTGGTGGGAGAAGAATCGCTGCCCCGAGATCATGATGATCACAACTCACTGATGAAGTTGTTGTAGTGTTGTGGAAGTTGTTGTTGTTTTGGAGAGAAGTGATGGTGGTGGCTTCTCGGTATTTGTGGCGGAGGATATCTGTACGGACGGCGGTGAGTTCGGATTGGAGAGACTGAATGTGGTGTTGAAGAGCTGAGATTGCTCCCATGCAACCGTAGATTGGATCTCTAAGTCTGAGGTTTGCTTCGTATACTAAACTGTTTGCTGCGTCTCCTCTTTGGCTCTCTCCCACTTCCTACAACATTGTTTAAGTCCATAGTTAATGTATATACATATGTATAACCACATGAAGTAAGATAAACTATACAAAATACTATAAAGTTTTGAAAGTATGTAGGAAATTACCAAAATGGCAAAATCGTAAATAATGGTGTAATAAAATTTTGACGGAATTGAACGAAAATATGTTTGGATTAACTAGTTTCGACAATTCCAATGTTACTAATTTGTTTAAATTGCAAGTGATTTGGAAGATAAATTGTTATAAAATTAAATAATACGAACATACTATTTTAGTTAGTAGCAAACGACACAAAAAGGTTTAGAGAAATTTTGGAGACAAATTTTATTTTATATAAATGTGCAAAATGGTAAGTTAATTAAAAAAACTACTATCTTAATAAAATTAAGAAAAATCTTCTAAGAAAAACTGATACATTCCGATAGTGTTATTCAAATATGATTATTATACGTATAAATAATAAGATAGTATGCAACTATGCATATAGGTCAATCTATATGCCAAAAAAAAGTTCCATTAATCTTAGTATGTGCATCTAATGATAATGAATTTATACCTATGCCAATTAGATAAACCACCTCGACTATATTCTACAAACTCGTTAAATACTATTGTGAATAGATTTGGAAAGAGTCAAACAAAAAATGGTAGATCCATTCAACTATATATCCACATTAATCAACTATGAAATATATGGATCAAAAGAGTAATCAAATCAAGAAACCTTAATTAAAAAAAGAAAATAAATATTCATTAGTGTAGAAAATATATGTACCAGAAGCATCTTGGAGACGTTACTTGCACCGAAGACTTTATGAACGGCGGCGAACTTGTGAGGTTCGTGCGGCGAGAAGTAAGGCGAGAAAGGACACTCCTCCGCACAACGACGGCGGAGGAGCTTACAAGCGGCGCATGGAGTCACGGTGTTCAACGTTGTCCCCGGAGGCACCGCCACATGTCTCCTGATACCCATCACGGCATGATCCGTCGTCGATTCGAAGGTTGGATCTTTCTTTATCTTCTTAACGATCTCGTAGTACTCTCCAAATCCTTCCCTGTTGTTTCCAATCATTTTCACCACCACCGATTTGATTAAAAATCAAAAAGATCGTTAATAGATGTATATATCTTGACTTAATCTTACCTTTCTCGGGACATTCACGCATGCTATTTATAAGTTTGTTTTTGAGAGTATCAATGGAGGAGGAGGAGGAGAAGAAGAAATGAAGAAGAAGAAGAGGAGAAATGGAAGAAATTAAATAAGAGTTTCTTTAATAAGGAGAGTCATTAAGGTGAATTAAATGATCTTTCTTTATTTAAACTGGAAAATCTATAGACTTCTATACTTAATTATATTGTCTAGACGATTAAAGAAGTCTTACTGTCCTGCTCTTGTACGTTAAGGTATTAATTATCAATATTCCGAGTTATGAGTAAGCTCAAGATTTGGAAGAGATCATAAGTAATATCGGACCAAAATTTTGTAGCTTAATGGTTTATATATATGTAAGTTTTGTTATTGTGAGATATATATATTGCATTTTGTTACTAAAAAAACAACAGTCGATATTAAAAGATACAGTATGTGGTTGAAGACCATAATAAAATAGCCTTTTTGGTGATTTAATTCAAATAAGGTCGAGACCCACGATCAAAAGAATTCATAATATATAGTATAAACTTTAATTAGAGATTTAGAGTAGGTGGTTAAAGAAAGTTAGTTGAAGGGAAAAAAAAACTCAAACAAAACATGGCGCAATTGTACCAATCCTTGTATTTGAGCAAGCACAAGGTTTCTAAGATCAGAAGGAGCCATACCGATTTGATCAGATTCAATCAAAATATGGATTAAACGTAGCAAAATCACCCTTAGAAAATAAAATAATCATTAAAAAGACTAATTTTGGAGCTAATAGTCTAAAGATTAAACTCATTTTGTATGTTCAAGTATTACGTTCGACAACGAACCTTTTCATTGTTTTATCTTTGGTCAACCTCTTCACGTGTTAGTTGCTACTAAAAGTGAAAATATGTCAAACGGTGAGAAAAAATCTAATACGATATATATACAAAATAAAATGGTTTCAAAAGAATGAAGAAATGCATAATATTGGACATGTGATTGCACGTGAAGGATGCTTCCATCTAAAAACCCAAATTAAATGCTTAACCAGTTTATAGTTTTTAATCATTGACCGTGATTACAAAATTATTGTTCGTGGTTTTCTTTTTCTCTAGTGTCAAGTACTCTCACGTATTGACATGCATGACTGAACAAAAATATAAAGTCAACAATCAACATCGAGAACATGTGGACACTGCCGATCTCATCAATATCACACTCTTCGATAATCGGTACACGAATTTTCCTTTTCTCAAGTGTAAATGTATTATACATGTTGATGTTCATGTGGACATATATCTTGGGACTAAAATAATTATGAAATAGTATTAATTTGAAAGGGTTTGTTATAACATGTATTCGCAGAACTTGTGTATTACGCAATAATGGAGAGTTGGAGGCTAAAAAGATGGGGTTTTCTTCTTGATCAACAACATTCATTAACATAAAACACATGTTCATAACAATTGATAGACTAAGTGTTTGTTTATGCATTTAGATGCTTAATTTAATTGTTGTATATCCCAAGGCTTTTATATAGTTTTCCTGGAAGAAGATGAGAGACTCAAGATTCAAAAATGTTTAAAATCTTTTATTATATATAAAAGAAAATTACAACAAAGTTGATTTTGATTTGCACACAACTCTTATGTATTATTATTACAACAACTCTATGAAATTAGGAGACATAGTCAAATCTATAAACTCAGAAACTCTTCGTCTCTTCATAGATGACCCATCTCTGCAGCTTGGTGATGGAGTCATCAGATCTATCACCTCAACATCAACCTCAGTCGTCGTTGAGGTGATAAGGTTCCTTCTTCTCCTACAATCTTTCTCCATAGCTTCAGTGGATCCTACAGTTCCATTTGATACTTCATCTTCAACAATCTCTACCAAGCCAAAACCAGTGAAACTTGCTAATCTGTCGTTGAATACAGTCTCGGGTTCTTTCTCCGTAGCTTCAATGGATCCTACAGTGATATGTGATACTTCATCTTCAAAAGTCTCTTCTTCTAATAAGCCAAAACCAGTGAAATTTGCTAATCTGTCTTCTTCATCAAATACAGTTACAGGTACTTTCGCATTTTCAAAATGCCGGCCATGAAGTTCTTTTTCACCTGGATACAAGTCATCCGTTGAGCATGTATCTGCATTCCCAGGCTGGCTTTGGTTGCTACTATCCTCCTCCTCCTCCTCCTCATTCTCTTCATTATCCTTGGGACTCTCTTCATCTTCGGGTTGAGAACCATTGTATAGCTTTGTGAAATACTGAAGATCATCCAAAGCACAAACTTGGACTTTCATGTGTAGAGGTAAACTTGGAGATTTACCGCCGTGGTGTGCATACTTTGACGAGAAATAATTGACTGTGAGGTTTAAACTGATCACCAAGAGACACAAAAGAGATATATAAGTTATGTCGATAAGGCAATGGATATCGAAGCATAGCAACAATAAGCTTCCTTACCTATTCCAAGCTGGAAGATTTAACATTGTGTATACAAGCTTGATCTTGCTTGCAATCCCAGAGAAGGATTTGAAAGCAGCAGCAGCTTCTCTCACTGCAACCGATTCCCTCGGATGCTGCCAAGCCCATTCAAACTGCAACGGGGGTTTCTACGTTAGCCAGACTAAATTTAACAAATGAAGTAAAGACAGAATCTTTTGCCAGGAATAGTAAACATTAGTCAAAGAGTGAAGCTTTGAGATATCAAAGATAAGATCTTTAAGTCGGTAATATCTACTAGGGAGAAAACAAAAGAACCTGAAGGGCAGAGACATTGGTGGGGAAACCATAGATACAGAGAACCATTTCCCATGGACGTTTTTTCTTTGTTCTCCAAGCACCACTAGTGATCTCTCCATTGTGCTGCCTTATTCTCCTCCTCGGGTTTACCGTGAACCTGCAAACCAGATTATGCAATCAATTACTAAACATCCGAAAGTCTGATTAAACCGTCAAATCTTCTATTTGATCAAATTTAAGAAGACAAAGAATTCAATCAAATAAACCCAAAAAATGTAAATCCTTTATCAATCAAACTTTTCAGATTTGATTCAAAAAGCCACAACATCAGTGATCCAACAGAATCTTCAATTCCAAATGCGAATTGGGGAAAGAAAAAAAAAACGAAAGCCAGAGATGAGAGAAAGAAGTACCCGATATAGGTTTGACCCTTATGACGAGGGCTAAGAGAGGTCAAGAGATAACAAGCGAAGAAGCCTTTTCCCTCTTTTCCGGTGACTTCATCCTCACCGACGGGATCTAGGGCTTTCCGATTTCCCCTTTTCTCTCTCATCTCTCTTTCTATCTTGGCTTGAATTCGACCGTTGAACGCAACGAAGATCCATTATTATTTATTACTTATATAAAATCCGTTATCTCGTAAGAATGATAATGGGCCAATTATGATTAAGGCCTATTATTTATACGGAATGGCCCAATTTGGAAACTAGAATCTGTTTAAACCCCAACAGTTTTTAATTAAAATGATATTAGTTACTGATTATTTGTCTATATACAATTCTGTTTTCAACTTTGTTTATGACACGAGGATGATAAAATTAATACAATGCATTAAGTTACAAATTTAGGTTAATACTTTTAAAACAAAGTTTGTTTGTTTTTTTTAATTAACATTGAGCCACAATTGGCTGGTCCATTTATCATTTGCTACTAGACTACGGTCACTTCACTATTAAATAAAGTTATATAATTGATTTTCTATAAATATATAAAAAAAAAACAATGTTTTCTTGCTTCACATGACATTGTTACCCATTACATAGGTCTCCTATTGATTTTGGATGTTATAAAAACTGCTCACTTATGTTTTACTTTTTTCTACACCTAGATTTTCAGCTTTCAAATAATATATCTTCATATTATATCCTCTATTTCTTTTTTCCTTTCGACTATAATAAATGATTTTTAAAATTTTAAGTTTATCTATATATAATCAAGAATTTATTTTTAATTTTGATCTTTAACTTTGGTTTAGTAGAGTTTTGGTTATTAATATTTCTTTATTTTATTTTAGCTATAGTAGACTTTGATTTCAGAGCATTTGTTACGATAAAATTTAATGTCAAAAATAGAAAATTTGGATATATTAAAATTTTAATATTATTATTTGTGCTATACAATCCTATTTCACAGTTTCGTTTTATTTTTTTCACTCAGCAACTTCTTCATAGCATGAATTGAAGAAACTAGTGTTGTAGAATTTAACCATGGACAATTTTACTCCTAAATGCACATGAGCATACCCTCTTTTTTAGTAGTGAATTACTCAACCGCCAAAATCACACTAACCAAAGAGAGTTTTGTTGTTTTCATGATATTAGAAAACAGTTAAAGATTTATACTTTTGCATCATCATTAATGCTTCAACGGTGCTTGGCGGGAAAATGGTCATTAAAAATTAAAAGAGAACAAACTTAAAAATGGACTGTCAAATGGGGCATTTTTGAAAAGCGGTATTGAAAAAGGAGTATTTTTAACAATTTCTCAACAAAATATATCTTCTTCTTTTGAAAATAATATATGACCTTTGATATATATATATATATATATATATAACATGTAATTGAAAGTATATACCAAACTCAAATATATATATATATATATATATATATATATATCTTTGTAAAAACCACAAATCAAAGCATATATTATGATGTTTATAAATTAAAGAGAGAATTTGGAAAGATGGCGTCGTCTCTCTCGAAAGGCGACTCTGAGGGCGATTTTCGCCTTTGTTTATATCTTTTCGTTTTTCTCTGATGGAGAATCTTTCCGACTGACGAAAACCATCCGTATCTCTCTCTGGTTTTTTACGGCGGTTTATTTCTGCCTAAAGTCAACGGTAGTTTCTTGTCTCCCCCCTTTCGGGAGTTAACTGTCAACCGAAACCGCCATGGACCACAAACTATAAAAACCAACAATTTGTCTCCTTTTCTCAACCAATTCTCTCTACAATCCAATCCCAAGTGCGAATCATGAGTGACTATCTCCGAAAATCCGTTCAAGACCTCGATCTGGGTATCGATGATGACCCAATCGCCCTCCCTGCAGATTTTGTCTCTCAAGCGGCCTCTGTCAACCGTTTCTCTCAGATTGTCACAACGGTGAACCCGCGCAAACAAAACTTAAGAGCCCTCATTGGACAAATGCCAAGAGTCTGGGGTTTTGCTGATTCCTGTGTCGGACGAAGTCTGGGTAAGGGTCAAGTGCAATTCAAATTCCATACTGAAGAATCGATGAATTTGGTTCTCAGGCGTGGTCCTTGGCCCTTTAATGACTGGATGTTATCCATCCATCGTTGGTATCCGAACATCTCAGAGGAAGAAATGAAAATCATTCCTTTTTGGGTTTAGATTCAAGGTATTCCTCTTCTCTATTTGACGAATGCTATGGCTCGTGTTGTTGGAAATAAGTTAGGTAGAGTTTCTGCTGTGGATTTTGATGAGAATGTGAGTCAAATGGGATTTGTGAGGGTTAGGCTAGACTGAAATTTTGATGATCCACTTCGTTTCCAAAGGAACATTCAGTTTAACAGAGATGAGAACACCATCATTAAGTTCCGGTTTGAAAGGCTGAGGAACTTTTGCACCAAATGTGGTTTTCTGAAACATGATGCAAAAGAATGTTCTCTTGTGTTTGAAGATGGTAATCCTGCAGATTTTGATGATGGGAATAATGGGGATTTTCAAGACAATGCTAATGAGGATCAACACAACAATTATGATGGTGACAATGAGATGGCTGAAGATGAAGATGACTCTCTCCCTAGTGTTGATCCGGCTACTTTGATCCCTGGCCTTCAGAGACAAGCGGCTTCTGCTTTCAACATTACTTTCTCTCCTTCAGTTTCTGTTTCATCCAACAGTCTTAGTGTTTTTGAAGACACAGAGTTAACTGCTGAAAGACTTATGTACCTTCACGCCAAACTCACCCGTGAGGCACTTCTGAATGAAAGAAAAGATGACCTCCTTGAAGCAGATTCTGCCAAAACAAAGACTGAGTTTGTGTTCACCAAAAGAAAACAGGTCAGCTTTGAAACCAGATACAACCAGGCTGAAGCAGCGGAGGAATCGGCAGCCCTGAGCCATTTTTGCAAAAAAGAAAAGAAGACAGAAGCGCCTGCTTTGTTTTCACCAATTCCAGGACTTACCGGAGGCGTGGGGGCCCGATACCTCCATATGTTCCCCCATGAGGATCACATCCTGGAATTGCCAAGGACTAGGAGCACCACTAACACAATCTCGTTTAATCCGCTTATGTAAATTATCTAGGTGTGATGTTTTATTTCTAATTGAAACACTTAATAAGTGTGACGTTGTACGTAATCTAGCGTGTGTATTAGGCTTTAATAATGTAATAACTCATCCCCCACAAGGTCGAAGCGGTGGCTTGGCCTTGATGTGGAAGGATAATGTACGTTTGTCCGAAAACTTTAAGGATGAACGTCTTATCGATGTACATATATCTATTAATAACATTGGCTTCTATTTGTCTTGCGTGTATGGCCATCCTTCTCAAAGTGAACGCCATTACCTTTGGAATCACCTCAAACATTTTTCACTTACACGCAATGACTCATGGGTTTTGATTGGCGACTTCAATGAGATTCTCTCTAACTCGGAAAAAATAGGTGGACCACCAAGGGAGGAATGGACCTTTAGAGAGTTCAAAAACATGGTTTCTTCTTGTGATCTAGTTGATATAAGATCAAAGGGTGACAGGTTCTCTTGGGTTGGTGAACGACACACTCACACTGTGAAATGTTGCTTAGATAGAGCATTTATTAATATAGAGGCTGCGGCTAACTTTCCATTTGCAGAGCTTGAATTTCTTGAGTTTGCTGGTTCTGATCATAAACCTCTGCTACTCTCTATGGAGAATACAGCCACCACAAGAACAAAATCGTTTTTCTTTGATAAAAGGCTGGTTGACATTCCACATTTTAAAAGGTGCGTTAAAGAAGGCTGGGAAAATGGCAAATTAACTCAAGGCTATCAGATTATGGACCAAGTTAGGATCTGCCGTCATCATTTGGCACGATTGAAACACAGATCCAATCTTAATGCGGATTCTCGAATAAAAGATCTACAAGCGCAGTTAAACACAGTGATGTCAAGCATCTCAAGAACGGAGAGACTAGCAATTCCACAAATTCAAAGGGACCTTGCCAAAGCGTACAATGATGAGGAAAAATACTGGCACCAAAAAAGTCGCAACAACTGGATGATAGGAGGTGATAGGAATACTGGGTTTTCCACGCGTGTACAAAGATTAGGTACGCAAAAAACAGAATCAACACAATTAAGGACGATCAAGGAAATGTTTGCAACGGTGACAAAGATATTGGGCTACATGCTCAACATTTCTACTCTGAAATTTATGCTAGCAATGGACGGTCTGTTTCTCCTATAGGTTTTGCGGATTTCAGTCCCACAGTGACCCAATCGATGAATTCTGATCTGTGTCGTGAGTTTAGTGATGACGAAATATACAATGCAGTTTGCATGATAGGCGATGATAAAGCTCCCGGGCCTGACGGACTCACTGCGAGATTCTACAAAACTTGTTGGGACATTGTAGGAGCTGACGTAATTTCAGAGGTTAAAAACTATTTTAGGACTTCTTCAATGAAACCATTGGTAAATCACACAAACATTTGTATGATTCCTAAGATAACCAACCCGGAAACCCTTTCGGACTATCGACCAATTGCGTTATGTAATATTCTATACAAGATCATCTCAAAGTGTCTTGTAGCACGCCTTAAAATCCATCTCGATGCAATTGTTTCTGATGCTCAGGCAGCATTTATTCCGGGAAGGCTTGTGAATGATAATGTCATGATTGCTCACGAGATCATGCATTCTTTAAAGGCAAGAAAAAGAGTTTCCCAATCCTACATGGCGGTGAAAACTGATGTAAGTAAAGCTTACGATTGGATTGAATGGAGGTTTTTGGAAACAACGCTGCGCTTGTTTGGATTCTGTGAGCAATGGATCAATTGGATAATGGGGACTGTTACTTCCGTTCAATATTCAGTCCTTATTAATGGCTCTCCATATGGTTTGATCAAACCTAAACGAGGAATCCGACAAGGGGATCCACTCTCACCCTATTTGTTTATTTTATGCGCCGATATTCTAAGCCATCTTATAAAGTCCAGAGGTGATGATGGTGACATTCGGGGAATACGTATTGGTATGGGGGTTCCAAGTGTTACTCATCTTCAATTCGCGGATGATTCTCTATTCTTCTGTCAAGCTAATGCTCGGAATTGCCAAGCGCTGAAAGATGTATTTGATATCTAAGAATATTATTCTGGTCAAAAAATTAATATGAGTAAATCAATGATCACCTTTGGATCTAAAGTGTATGGCAGTACTCAAACTCGGCTGAAGAATATTCTGGGGATCCAAAATCACGGCGGTGGCGGCAAAATCTTGGTCTTCCGAAACAGTTTGGACGAAAGAAAAAAGAAATGTTTGAATATATCATTGATAGGGTGAGGAAAAGAACATCGAGTTGGAGTGCAAAATTTCTTTCACCGGCGGGAAAAGAAATCATGATCAAATCAGTTGCAATGGCAATGCCGGTCTACGCCATGTCGTGCTTTAAACTTCATGTGGGTGTAGTCTCAGAAATAGAGTCAATTCTTATGAATTTTTGGTGGGAGAAGAAAGCAAAACAAAGAGGAATCCCATGGATTGCTTGGAACAGACTTCAATATTCCAAAAAAGAAGGCGGTTTAGGCTTTAAGGACTTAGCTAAATTTAACGATGCTCTACTTGCAAAACAAGCTTGGAGGATCATTCAATACCCTAATTCTCTTTTTGCTCGCTTAATGAAAGCTAGATATTTCAAAGATGAGTCATTCCTTGATGCAAAGCCTCGAAATTATCAATCATACGGATGGTCTTCTTTACTTGCCGGACTTGATGTTATTAAAAAAGTTCACGGTTTAACATAGGCGATGGGAAAACTGTTCGTATTGGCATTGATAACATTAATCCTTCCCATCCTCCTCGGCTAATCAAGGCGACCTTTTCTGAGTTTCAAGGTATAGTAAGCTCTCTTATCTCAAAGAGAGGATCTTATCGTTTTTGGGATAATCATAACATCTCTCAAATAATTGATCCCTGTGATCAACATATTCTTGACAAAATTTATCTCCCAAGATATGAAACTATGGATAAACTGATTTGGCACTATAATTCTAATGGCGAATACACGGTCCGATCCGGCTATTGGCTGCTCACCCATGATCCGACTGATACCTGTCAAAAACCGCCAATTCCTCCGGGATCGCCCGATTTGAAGAGCAAGATATGGAAACTTCAGATAATTCCCAAAATAAAACACATGCTTTGGAGATCAATATCACGTGCTCTACCAACTTGTTCACGTCTGGTTACTCGTGGAATGTTGATTGGATCTACTTGTTTTCGCTGCCAAGATGAGAAAGAAACTATAAACCATGTCCTCTTTAGTTGTTCCTTCGCAAAAATGGCATGGCATCTATCAAATATACCTATATTACAGGCGCATCATTTTTCCTCTGATTTGGAAGAGAACTTTAATTATATCATTGATCTTTATCATAACCAAACCCTCACAACCAATCAAAAATTGTTCCCTTTCTGGCTCCTTTGGAAAATATGGAAGGCACGGAATAAACTAGTTTTTAATAAATATGCTGAAAGTCCGACACGTATTGTTCGACAAGTCCAAACAGAGGTTCAAGAATGGATCAATAACTTGAGAGAGAAACAACTTCCGAATAAAAATACAAATAATCAGAATTCCATGGCGCCTACTTGGACAAGGCCACATCCGTCGATGGTCAAATGTAATTTTGATGCAGGTTTTGATGCAAGATTTTCACATGGTACCGGAGGCTGGATTATACGAGATTATCACGGTGATCCAAAAGCTTGGGGCGCTTCTAAACTTCCGAATTCATCATCCCCTTTGGAGGCTGAAGCGAAAGCTCTATTGATGGCGATGCAACAAACTTGGATAAGAGGGTTTAAGTGCGTTCAATTTGAAGGGGATTGCGAGATTCTTCTCAATATGATCAATGGGCATTCCCACCACTGTGATTTGGTTAATCTACTTCAGGACATTGATTATTGGGCAACCAAATTTTCCTCTGTAATTTTTACTTTTACTAAATGTACAGGAAATTGTATAGCTCATAATTTAGCATGTCTCAATTCTTTCACTGGAGAGTTCTATTCAAGCTCTGTTCACAAGCCGATGTGGCTAAAACGTTTGATTTGTAAAGAATCTATTAGTTGAATAAATCATTGTTTGCTGTAAAAAAAAAAAAAATTAAAGAGAAGCAATGGAGAAAAATGAATTTATATACTTTTATTTTGTTAATAAAAATTTTGTAATATAGCAAATTTTGTTAAAAAATGTATATTTTGTTATATTACCAAAATTTTATATTTTTTGGTATATTTAGCTATATTACAAAAATATATACCAAAAGTTTGTTGTATACTTTATTTAATTTTTAATAAAATTATATAATAATTTATTTTTGCAAAATTCTTTTTATCAAAAATAAATAAAAAGGAAAAAATATATATATTTTTGAAAATATTTTGGTCAACACCGGTCAACGCCGGATTCCGGCAACCGGTACACTGGAATTAGATGGTTATGGTGTTGGCAACATGACTTATGTTAGTTCGGGGATGTCTGTATGTGATAGCAATAGTTCGTGTAGCTAATGTGACATTTTTAAAGTTTGCATGTGTGACTATGTAATGATGTCTCTTTCGTGTAGCTGGCAAACATTTTTCCATAACTTATTTGCTTCTTTTCATTGGACTACTCCATAACCACTTAGATAAGCAAAGACACCAGATTCAAAATCCAAATAACAAGATACATAATGCATCAAACACTAAACTCCATAATTGTAGCTCACAACTTCAGCTAACATAACATCGTGAACTATCAGCAATTACATAATAGGCTAATCCAAATAGACAATGAAATTCACATAACGAGAATGTATTATTTGTTTCACTAAGAATTCACATAACGACTATAAACTAAGGGAATTAATCTGAATTTTCAATATACATTTTTAAAAAAAGAGGTATTTAACTTCATCAACCACATTTTCCCTATATCTACTTTCCTAATTCACACCAAACAACCTAATTTGCCACATTTTTCCCCTTTGCGCCTAAAACAAAGTGGGCAGGAATTGTACTTTGAGGCTTGAGCTATTCAATGATCATATAAAATTAAATTATATAATTAGTGTTCCTTTTGAATTTTTTTTTTTAAAATGGCCAAACAAATGACGCGATGAATAAGAAAGCTGGTGCTTATGATGATGCTTTAATAATGATAATGATTCCTTAACCTTCACTCGTTTTGAGTTGTAATATCCAATTAAGTGGACAATAATAGCTTTTTCTCACAAAAGAAAAGCTGCATATTTTTAAAAGTTTTGTAAGGTACTTACATACCTTTTTATCATTTTCATCACTGGCTGTGGATCTCCCATTCAATTATTTCATATGTTCAATAATACATTACACAATATTAAATGGAAGAAGCCATATAGATAAGCAGAAATTCAGAATTGACTAGGAAAAAGTACTATTAAATCATGCCCTCCACAGCTCTGCCTTTACTACTAAATAGGGTCCTGTAAAAAACAATGAAGATGTCATCACGACCTTCTAACCATCTTTTCCGTGAATTTAGATGAGTTTATGCGTCTTATAGATTATTTCATTTTGTTTCTCTAGTTTCATTGAACCTTAAAACTGATTGTTCGACACGTAATGATAGACTCACTCTAATTTCTTCATAGACCTTTAACTCCATAAGTCCATACAAATTCGCATGGTTGATAAAAAAAAAGTTATGTATGAGTAAAATTGGAATTCCAAACTATAAATAGAAGAACATTTTCTACATTATACAAAAGAGTAAGTATCTACAAATGCAATTTTATACTTGTGTGTACATAGTGATTAGTGAGTTATACATTTTATCAAAAAGCACAAAATAGATGCCTACAATTTGGTACTGTATTTAAATACATATATTTTTATTTTTCTTTTTTCTTTTTTCAGTGATAAATCTAAAAGAAAACAATAGAAACGCAACTCCAACCAACCAAAAGCCATTGGCGTTTTGATTCAAAAGCCCCATAGCGTTCTTTTAAATAACTGCGTTTGGCGACGTCTGATCGCAACCGCGAATAAGTTGAACCCTGAGTTTATCATTCCACATCTCCTTATAACAATCACCGTCACCACCTCTCCGCCGTGCCTCCACCACCACAAGCAAATCATTCAACCGCGAAATACAAATCCCGATAACAAATTTCCCATTTTGCCCTTCCATTTCAAATCCATACTCTTCTTCCTTCTTCTTCTTCATCCTCAGATTCTCCTCTCTCGCAAACCTCTCCACTTCCTCCGCTAGTTTCTCCGGCGACTTCTCCGACAAAAACCTCTCCGATTCACCAACCGAATTACTACAGCCATCAAACAATCCAGACAAATCTAATCCCGATGAGTAAGAAATCAAATCAAACGCGTTTAAACTCTTCACAGCTTCTTCCACTTTCTGATCTTTCTCACAATCATCGATCTCGTCATGGAACTTGATTTGCTTAAGACCTCCTTTAACAAACCAAGGATCTTTCAAAATCTCATCAATGGTGATTCTAGTCTCAGGATTAATATCTAGAAGACGAGAAATGAAACGTTTCAGATCTTGAGACATCCAACGAGGAAAACGATACTCTCCTTTATAAATCTTCTTGTACATATTCATCAAATTCGGATCGTTAAACGGTAAATAACCGGCGGCGAGAACGAACAAGACGATTCCGCAAGACCATACATCAACTTTAGCACCTTCATATCCCTTTTTAGATAGAATCTCCGGCGCAACGTACGCCGGAGTACCACACAAAGTATGTAATAACCCGTCGGGTCGGATCTGATCCGTTAACGCGCTAAGACCGAAATCGGAAACTTTTAAGTTTCCGTTTTCGTCTATTAACAGATTCTCCGGTTTGAGATCGCGGTGGTAAACACCGCGAGCGTGACAATAACCGACAGCGGAGATTAATTGTTGGAAGTATCTACGGCTGAGATCTTCGCTAAGACGTCCATGTTTTGAGATTTTGTTGAATAATTCACCTCCTTTAACAAACTCCATCGCGAAGAAGATCTTCGCCTTTGTCGCCATTACTTCGTGGAGTCTAACGATGTTTGGATGTGATAATCGTCTCATGATTGAGATCTCGCGTTTGATGTTGTTGGCGAGAGCTGGATTTGTTAGGAGTTTCTTCTTGTTGAGGATTTTCACGGCGACGCTTTGACCGGTACGACGATCACGTGCGTGGAAGACTTTGGCGAACGCGCCGCATCCGAGAAGCTTTCCGAGCTCGTATTTGCCGAATAAGGCGGCGTTGTTGTCGCCGCCGCAGGGGATAATCTCGATCTCTGGCATGATTGTTAAGGCCAGAGATCGATTTAGAGATGATGATTGATGAATTGGAAGACTTCGCCGGAGAATTTGAATCTGATTTCGTTTGCGCGTAATTCAGATGTGAGGAACACGTAAGCGAATTCTTCTTCTTTGTCTTTTTTTTTTTTTGTTGGGGAAGTTTTTTCTTTGTTGTGTTTACTTTTTATGGAATAAGAATTTTAGAAGTGGTTAGGTATTTAAATGGTGGAGAATTTAAGGTGTAACGCGGAAGCTTTTTTTAAAAAAGATAAGTTCAATAGAATAATGGATTAAGGATAAAAAGCAATTAGAGATGCCTAAAAAAAAGAGTTTAAACTGAAAGCACTTTTTTAGTAACCGTTACAGACTTTATTTGTTGTCATTCAAAAATAAAATGTTAAAGGTTTTTTAAAACATTAGATAAGAATTAGAAAGTCATGATTATTTCACCTTTGTTCAATTTTTTTCTTCTTCTAAATTATAGTAGTAAACCAAATTTTAGATGCGAATCCCTTAGCTAAGAACTAAATTTTAGATGTGAAGGTTTACTACTATAATTAACTAACACAACTACCTGACACCTGAGCACACAATCCATCATTCCATCTATTCAACACAAGAAGCCAAACTTATCCGATAATGTAATTGATAGTCTTTAATGTTAAAATTCATTCAAAAATAATACTATATAAGTCAACTGTTAAAATTCTATTTTTGAGTCGGTGCATATGTATATCTAGTTCCATAAATCATATAGAATGAAAAATTTATTTTAAAACTGATTATTGTCGTTCTGTTTCTTTTGTACAATCGATCTACAGTGTACACCTAATTGCTTTTATTATGCATGACAAATTCGATAAATTATTACGTGGTCTTCGTACTCACTCAATTATTATGTTGTCGATAGTTTCTACTTCATTTCCTTTACCTACGCGTGATCTTATCACCTAACATACTCTCATAACTCTTCTCGTACTTTTTACATCTAGAACAATTCAGAATCTTGTAGTATTATGGTTAGAAAAATGTAGATCAATAAATAAGTATTTCGTGTATCAGTTTTTGCGTGTCTCATCGCATGTGGTTTTTATTCAACTCTTAGGTAATGAAGAAAGCGACTTGGTTAGTAACTTAAATTAAATTAATAACAAAACATGTTCCACGAGACAACGGCAGGTGTCTCTTACATACGTGGCAATATCCGAACGGTGGAACAAGTGGACGGCTCGACGCCGGCTTCCAGCTGGACGGTTCAGGATTGTGGGCCGGCCGTTGAAAAATCGGTGCTGCTGAGATATGCTTATATTATTTACTAATTAATCTCTGATTGCAGACTAATTATTCCTCTATTATTTAATTGGATTGACTAATTATTTCTCTGTTATAGACTTATAGCCAGAAATTAATAATCTTTGCTCGCGTCGGTAATCTGATTATTTTTCTAAAGTAAAATAAGAAATAATCAAATAACATGGGCCCGTATACCATATTCACATCGTGATTGAATTTTACATAAAAAAGCTTTTCAATAGAAGAATCAGTCAGTCAATGACTTTATACAAAAAAAAAAGACCGACTTTAAAATCTTTTAAATTGTTATGTGGGCTATGTGTGAATGGTGTAAGCTGTATGTGAATACGTAATACGTAAGCATATACTATCAGTATATACGAATAGATTACTTAAGTGAGTTTGATATGACTACAAAATTTAAATGAAATCTCAACGAGTCCCGCAAATAGATGTTTATACTTTTACGTGGATGCATGATCGATTATATATGTGCCAAGAAAAAATGTTTATTGGGCTTTTGGCTTATTCGTCTTAGTCCAAATGTTACGAGCCTAAACCTATGTGATATTAGGAAGCCCGTACGTTGAAGAAGCCAATACATAGTTTTTGTTTGACACCAGAATGACATAATCAATAGCATAACATACTCATGAATTATGTAAACGAGCATCATCAATCAATTCATCAGCAAAAGTTTTACGTAGGGGTTTTCCTAGCAACATGTCTAATGTATAATAATTTATAAATATTTGAGTAGAGACATTAGATATGACGACGAACATGCATATAATTCATTATATAATGTATATATGTGAGTATATATATTATAAAAGATCATGGCATGTACAACTTGTTGCCGCACTTGCATCTCCAAGCTTCGGGGTAGTATTCGGCGGTGACAGGCGTCCCCGGAGGTACCGGAACATGCACAGGCTTGCACGGCGTGCATCTTCCACACTTAGAGGAGCACCGTGGCGGAGATGAACCCAGTCCCCTTAGAATCCTCCGTAGCTCCGCCTCCTTGCTCCTGTTACCTAATTTCCTCGTTTTCTTCATAACTACTGTACTCTGGCCTTCCTCCTGAACATATACTCAAAACCATATATATTATCACATTGTTCATTACTTAATATATCAAACGTATACGTATCCCTACTTTATTATTTTCTTCTTTCCCGGAGAGAACACATATAGTAACACAAAACCAAATGATATGGTTAATCAAGAATAATTAGTATTTTCTAATTAAATTTCAATTATTAGTATCTTCAAATGAACCCAAACTTCAGCTGCTGTCAATATAAGATAGTGAGAGGACTGTGTTAAATCACGCTAACATACGCATATTATTGCTAAAATGCGCGGTTAGGTAAAAAACATTTTTTAGGACAGGGTTGGGGATGTGAGACAAGACGCGGGAATACCGCTCCGGAAAAAGCGCTACGCACATTACCAAAAAAGGGCAGAGAGATTGAGAAGTTCCAAGAGGCTGTCATACGTTAACGTGCGCCGTGAGGGGGATAATATTTCCACTCGATCGAGATCGTAACACAGACAGAAGCAATGCAGGGTCCCACGAGAGGTGAACGGACCAAAAGTTGAGTACTGTCCTTGTCCTCGTGTGCGCTTAAACGAATCCGACGGCTGAGAATTTCTTTAGGAGTACATGGCATCTCTGCATGACCAGTCAGTCTCGACATGCCGTCACAGTCGCTGACTGTTCAAGCGCAGTTTAGCCACACCCCTTTTGTTTGTGTAGTCCTTTTAAAGACCCCCACATTATAAGCTTATATTATTTTTAATGTCTTTAATGATGAATCAACATCAATCTTGTCTTCCAAAGATACTTGAATCAGGAGAAAATAGAATTTAGGGAGCTTTTTGGATTTTATGTGGTTATAATTATTAGATATAAGTATAACACGGTTTTTGAATCCCTTTTTCCTAAATAATTTTTTGACTCAAGCCAAAAAAAAAAGCTGTATTTTCATATAAAAAAATATTGGATCACGCAAAAAAGTAAGAGCTAAAAAGCTTACGAACCTGTGGATAGAAGTTCCCTAGTTTCCCAGAGTTAGAATTCCTAATATCTGCATTTTACAACAATATAATGTAAATGGTACTGTAATGATTATATGATACGTTCGAATCAAATATTCAAAGATATTTTTGTTGGAGAATGACGAGAGAAAGAAAGAGGGCTTACATGGAGAAGAAAGCGAAGTGGGAGTTATTATGAAGGTGGTAATGACACAGAGGACGAAGAAGAGTAGTAATATATAGAAGAGACTGAACTTGGCTATCGTGTTTTCTGATGTTGGTAATGATGATGGTAATGATGATGACAATAATGATGAAGATGATGATGGTCTCTCGAAACCCATGATTAGGAAACTTTCTGAAAACCCCACCTAAGAAGAAGGTAGCAGAGATTAGTTATGAACTCGCTCCTCTTCCATGCAAAAAAAAAAAAAAAGCGTGGTGGGTTTATAAAAACCGGAGATGAAAATGGAAATCAAGAGAAGCTCATTCAAAAGGAATTGTATATGTATTTTGGTTTTTTTATGAATTGGGTTTTCTCAAAAAACGAGAGTGAGTAGTGGGAGTGGTTGAGAGTGAGAAAGAACAAATGGAGTCGACTATGAGAGAACAAGGAGGGGTTAACTGCAAAAATGTGTGATTAAATTTGGGAATTTTTTTATATAATAGGATAACAAGAAAAGAAAAAAGAAGATAAAATAGTATATGAGTGGGAAATGAGAGAAAGAGTGTAAGAAGAGAGAAGTAATTAAGAAAGGTACCTAAGCATTGCTAAGTTTGGGAGTTAGATTCTCCTGCACCCTATTCTCTCTGTCCATGTACCCTTCCTTTCTCCAGAAATTGCATTTAGCAATCTTCCAAGCTATACATATATATACACTATTTTATTTTTATGTGTTTTCTATGTTTCTTAATTAAGTTCTTTCATATGCATGTAAAAAAAAATATACTGTATACACATTTGTGGTGTGTGTCACATCACATTAATAAGATATGATTTCACGTGATTAATTAGTATAATCTCGATTTTGTTTCTTTCTAATTAGGGTTTAACATAAGTACTCAAGAATTAGGGTTTCATTTAGTTTATTATTGTTGGCAAAAATGACTGCTAACGGAGTAGTAATTTTTTTTTATCATAATTAAGGTAGAGAGATGAGAGGTGATTGATTTGAAGAGAGACGAATAAGGGAGGGCCGTAGGATGATATATGAGTGAGATTCCAAAGGCAAGGAGGTATGGACAAAACATCCCAACAAATGTGTAAGAAGGGTTCCATGTTCATTCCCAAATTACACATTTATATCTGTAATTTTTAACAATAAATTTTTACTCATAACAATTCACACAAAGGTTATATACTAAAGAATCTTAGTGAATGGTATAAATGAAAAAAACAATAAGTAGTTGAAACGGTACTATAAAAATATATAAAATGGCAAACAAATTGCAGTATAAACTTTTAACAATAGGATTAAAGTAAAATTGCTATAAAAAAAAATCTGTTTCTAACGAAAACAGCTATTTAGATCATTGAAAATGTTTGACCAAAAAATATTTAATGATGAATTTTAGCATCAAGCATCAGCGAGACAACTAATTTTTTGGAAAAATTTAAAGGTTATCAAACTTAGTTTCTTGTTACGTTTGACAACACCATTTTTTTTTTTGGTCAAACAAAATGAAAGACAACACCATTTTTATGCGCTGTAGACTATACAACAATATAATCGTAATACCAAATACTTTATTTTTGGAAAGAACTGTATGACCTAGTGTAAATTTTGTTTTCTATGTTGAATTGGTAATACTAAATCCAATGTTGGTAGAATGCGTCTGATTACAACTATACAATTGTCGTTAGGGCATACAATTAATATAGCCTGATAGCCTCGAAATTTCATAAAATACCATTTTTGAGTGATCACTATAAAAATTACCATCAATTTATAATCTATATAACAAAAAATTACTATATTGTACTATGATAGCCTTAGTGAAGGGGTCATTCTTTTGGATAACATCGTCATTAATTGCTGGATTTTTGGTTGTTTTTTCCCCTTTTCTCCACCAACATGAATCGTCGCTGATGAAGACTCTTCAAGAAACCGTTTCTTCAAATTAAAAACACGTTCGAACGAGAAAATAGAACACTCGAATTTAAAAAGATTTTCTCTGATACCACGTGAAAGAATAGTCTTTGGTAGATCATTGTTTGTTATTAATCGTGTTAGGTCCAACTATATATACACAAACATTAATCGATGCTATCTCAACATGAGATAACCTGATTCAACAAGAGGAAGTGGGTAAAGCTCCATCGACTACTATATCTACATTATCTTATACTTTTTTAATCCTTTATCACAAATTCACAATAGTATCTCCCTAACGTAATACTATATAGAAACCGTGTAGAAAAATAGAGAAGAACAAATCTAGGTATTTTTGTGTAATATAGTTTTGAGACATTACTAGTTTAAAAAAGTTTTTTTTTTTTTTTTTTTTAACATTTTCGATTTGCGCATATAATGTATGTATTCTAGTGGGTTTTACTAGAGGTACTAAATCATAGTTGTATTCATGTCATATTACAGTTTAAATATGGATATATGTTAGTTATATTGAAACAAAAATCTTTGTGGAGAAAATAAAATTTTAAAGGTAAGAACTACATATGAACTATTTATAAAGTACTTTATTTTAAAACTATAAAAGTTTATACATGAATTATGGGTTGATATTTTGCATATTCTAATTTTTGTTCCGGTCTTTTTCACAAATATTAGGACGTTTTGAGAATAAAAATGTCCCAATTTAGGATGGTATGATAACATGTAACTATTTAAAATACACTTTTATTTGATTCGAAACCTTAGAGATGAAAGCAGAAAAGAATTGGTCGAAAATTAGGTCACCCGTTCTGCTAACACCGGTAAAACAACATATGAGCTGAAATTATACGTAGAATGGTCACATAAAATTGTTGATCATATTTTTATAACTATTATGGTTGAATTTTCTTAACTCTAAATCACAACCATACTAGTCGACTAGGAGAGAATACAGAAATCTTCATGCATAGGAAAATATTGGGAGGGCCGGGTCACATGCCAAGGTAAGTATCTCTATCCCTGACACACCACTTCTCAATTATTTTATAATAAGGTTTTAATACAAAGATCTGACACACTGTATCCTTTTTACATTTTATCATGTTATTGTTATTTGAAATTTCATTTTGTTTCTTGACTGAGACAGATGGGACTTGCATTGTTTGATTGTTTCCTATCTATAATGTACTGATTCAAAGATGTCAAGAATCATGCAGAAAGAAAAACACTATTTTTTCTTAGGCCAATAAAATAAAGAGACATACATATCAGTCTTAGGATCTGAATTATCACGCAATCACCCTTTCAAAAATATGTATCTAAATTTAGGAATAACACTTGAGATTTAGAGTTTAGTTTTTAGGATTAGAAATTAAATTTTAGGGTTAGGGTTTAGAATTTCGAATTTAGAGTTTAAAGTGATCAAGGGTTTAAGGTTTAGTTTTAGGTTAGGGTTTAGAAATAGAATATTTAGCGTTTAAATTTGACTACTTTGTTAATTTTATAAAATATAGACTATCCTCTGTGTGGAAGCTCCTTTGCCCCATTGGTTGACCAAAGGTTGATTAATGCTTCTACTCTAAGAAGTCTGAGATTCGAGTCCCAGATATTACGATTTATTATCAAATTTGCAGATTAATAGAGGCAAGTGTGCATAAAATCTCCAGCGATGTACAATTATAGCCGTGTGCCAAGATTCTACGCAGAAAAGAAAGTGTCGCCAGGTCGTGGATCATTGAAGGTATTCATCAAGATCATAAAGAAGGAAGTGTAGTCTGTCGTAGATCTACTAAGGGTCGGCAGAAATTGTCAATTGTAAAATCGTCTATGTAACAGTTCTCATAATTTGCAATTAATAATAATTCTAGACGACAAAAAATAAATCGATTAATACTTTTTTTAATACCCTCTTCTTTTAAGAGTCCCATAATAGTATAGTGTATTATTTTGTTAAATCGATTATTTTTTAGTCCAAATTTTATTATTTTTTAGAATGCTAGAAAAAGTTGCTAAAATTCTGAAAATACAAGATGTTGAGAATTTTCTACTTCAAACTTCCTCGCTAACATTGAAATCCCAACGAATTTTAGAAATTTGTCACTGATTTGAGACAGATTTTAAAACAATTATTAATAAAACAAAATAGATGGCCGGTAGAGGCGGATAGGGCATTGGTAGTCTATTTGTGGGCCGAATTATGATGGATCCAACGAGTTAATGTAATCTCTTTAATTAATAGTATAATTTCTTCCAAGCTCACAAGATATATAGTTTCAACTTCAATTTTGAACATGTCTTTAAATTGAGCTGATTCCAGCAAACGATTTTTTTTAAAAAAATACTTATAAAATGGATAGGTAATTTTGACAAGAAACTTTGCTTGTTGAAACTTTATAGTTGTAATTTCGCTATTTAATTAGCATGATATACAAATATAATTATATTTATCAAGTTTTAATTTATAAACTATTGAATTTTCATTATTTCAATAGTTTTTTTCTGCCATATAAACTATCGAATTTAATTTTATCATATTAAGTTTTCTCAAAAGGTTTTCTTGATTTTAATAACACAATAGTCAACCAATATTAAAACTGTTCAAAAAATGAATTATGATCTTTTCTCCACAATAATATATAATTTATTTTGTTAGATTTCAATATTACTATATATATATTTGTAGTTTCATCATCAACAACTTAATGTGTCTTAATTGATAGTAGATAGCCTTCTTCGTATCTTGTATGATATCTAGAGTAGATCTCATGCTTATGATATCTAGAGGGTAGATCTCTTGTCATACTGATAAAACAAGTCCGAGGAAGAGGAAAGTGATAGAGGGAGAGAGAAGAAGAGGAGATGGCAAGTATGCAAATGTAAGGACGCCAAAAGTTGAAAAGAGAGAAGAAATAGAAAGAGACAAGAGATGCACGAGCGTTTTGAATTCATGCCTTGAGTGTTTTCAGAATTTGGACCACTTTCTCTCTTTTTTTTTTGTTTCTTCTCCTTCACTTATTATCAATATATATAGTTGAAGAACAAATATGTCTAGTCTTGTGGCATTTACAAATGTTCCTCTTCCTTCACTTGAGCTCATTATTGGTAAATCATATTTGATAAAACTCGCCTTGAAAATATTTTGCTTGTAATTAATATACATTATAACTTATAAACTATGAATGAATTTATATGTTTACGTATCAATTTCTCAAAAATAAGGTATATATATATATATATGAGTTGATTTTAAAACATAATCTACAAATTATCGTAATCCGAGGCACGTAGAACTGATCACAAACTCCACTTTTAAGTTGAAAGTTTATGTTTCCATTTGAATGGGGATTACACGACAACTTTGTAATTGGCAAGTGAAATCATAACAAAGTGGGAACGTACCTTCGCTTTCCTTGACAAGGATCATATACATATGTTGCTCCCTCAGGAGTGCCTCATCTTTTTATCATACTGTATTACATCTCTCAAAATCAGCAGGATCAAAGAAAAATAGCAGTTATGGGCCAACTAGGCCTTAAATAAGGCCCAGTAAGTATTGATTAATATGTTTCAAAGATTTTTTCTTGGGACTGCGACAAATAAGGACAGAGAGGAGATTACAAAGTACAAACAAACTCGCGTGCAAATCAGCTTTCACTACTTTTTCTTAAAAGTTTGAACATTTGAAGAAAGCAACAAACAAGAAGTGAGTGTAATAGATTTACTGTTACACTAATTTAATTATGATTAACAAACAAAAATGATTTTATTTAAAATTATTATTAAGACAGACTCCAAGAAAGAAACAGAGGGAGACAAAGGTTTTTGTTTCTCCGCGACGGTGTCTGAGGAGTGAGGAGATTCCTGAGTTTTTTTTTTTTTTTTCCTCTTGGATTCTCAGAATTTATTCAAAAATACAATTTAAAATTTACATTTTTTTGAAAACTGGTGAAGATCAAAGTTTTCGATTCTCGGAAATAAAAGAAGTAAAAAACCAAAAAAGAGAAGTAAACGCCAATTATAGTCGATTTATTGTTTAGGAATCCGAGAATCATCTCACCATTAACGAGGCTATTTATTTTGTCTTGTTAATTAGGAGCAAGATCTTAAAAAGAAGAATATCAACGAACCTCATTCCAATGTTAAGCAACAAGCATTTTTCTGTGAGTGAGAGAACTACAAAGGCTCGAACTTTGGCACTTCCTCGTGCTTAGCTTTTGCTTTGGCTGCTACTAGTGTACAAAAACAACAAACAGGTATGATTTTGTTTTGTCTTTCGTTTGTTCTGTTCTTCTTGTTGTTGTTGTTGTTGTTCATCACTTGAATCTTTATGCTCTGTTCTTCACTTCTTCTTTAGCTTTCACGATTTGGCCAGTTTGATTTGTAAAACCAATGAATGCTTTGTTGAATGGTTTCGTGTTATGGCTTTAATTACAAAAGATTGAAGATTTGGAACTGTATTTGTCTTGCCTGATTTGACTCTTTTGAAAATTGTCAATCTTTTTGTGGTTTTCTTTAACAAGATTGTACTTTTGGATTAGGGTTTTTTCTTCAATCAATGGAGAATGCCGTTGCTAAAACATCGAGTCCATCTTCGAATATATCAGAAATCATCTCCAAATTCGCTAAAGTCTGCAAATTTAGATCCATTGGTGTGTTCCCTGACCAAAAGTCGAATTCCAACGACCTTTGTGAAGTAGAAATCTTGGTGGATGATAAAGCTAAGGAAACTGAAGTTTGTGATTTTAATCACAAACCCTTTACAAAGATTCAAACTTTTTGTTGGGATGATGATGAGATATGGAAGCTTTTCGACATGGTTTCAGCGCTTAAGCTTGCTTATGTTGAGTTTCAACAAGCTCATTTGCCTTATGATCCAGATAAGATCATTGAAGCGGACAACCTCGTCGTGTCTCAGCTGGAGGCTTTACGCAGAATCAAGCGTCTCTACCTCAAAACGAAACAGCTCAACGCGAAGAAGACCGAGTTTGCTGCTTCTTGTTTGAATGGATTGAGAGATGAGATTGAAGTGAATGAGAAGGAACTGGAGAAACTTAAGGCACAAGTGAGAGCAAAGGAGAGTGAGATACACTCTTTGAAGGAAAGATTAGATTGTTTGGTTGCAGAGAATAGGAAACATGAAGAGAGGATTGTGAGTGTTTCTTCGTTTCAATTCGCTTTTCGAGCTGCTTCTAAGGCGGTTCACGACTTTTCGAAGCCATTGATCACTCTGATGAAAGCTACAGATTGGAATTTGGACAAGGCAGTGGAATCTATAGTTGGAAATGTAACATTTGCTAAGACCTCAGATAAGAAGTATGCTTTTGAGTCATACATTGTTCGGAGAATGTTTCACGGCATTAAGCTTAATCCATGTGATGTGACCGAACTAATGAGCTTCGATGATCCATTGGACGCGTTAACAGCGTTTCCAAATTCCGCGTTTTCAAGATTCTGCGGTCAGAAGTATCTTTTAGTTGTTCATCCATCGATGGAGGCTTCATTCTTTGGGAATATGGATATGAGGGGACTAGTTTTACTCGGTAAGCATCCAAGAACGATGTTTTATCACATCTTTGCAAAAATGGCAAAGTGGGTATGGATTCTTGGATCGTTTGCAGCTTCTTTAGATCTTAAAGCAAAGATCTTTGTGGTCAGAAGAGGAACAAGATTCTCAGGTGTCTACATGGAATCTGTAGTGGGTGATGAAAAAGAAGAAGGACAAGGCGATTTAAGCGTTGAGTTCATCACAATGCCGGGGTTTAAAATCGGAGATTCAGTGTTTAAATCTCAGGTTTATCTTTCTAAAACAAAAGAGTAAACAAACCACTCTGCAGATTCGATTATTTCAATAGTTTCAGGTAAAAAGCTCTGTTTTATTGAAAGTTTTGTAGGTAAGTAAAATAATTCTTTGTCCAAAGATCATTTGGTTTGTATCTTTGTTCACATTCAAGTTTTGGTCTATAGTTAACAAATCCAAGTTTCTTCGTTATGTGAAACTTAAAAATATACAAATCTTTTATAGTCTTCACACATGAGCTCTCCATAAAATCTGTAGACAAGTTGTGAAGACAGGGCTTTTAAGTTTTAAAATTCAACCAACAGAAGAGAAGCTCCTCTATGACCATTTAGTCATCCATTTTCCCTTCTCCAACAATCAAATGATTCAGATAGATTTCAAAGCTTCTGCAAGCAACTTCTACAACATTATCTTCGAATGCATCTCTCGAGCTCATCGAGTTCTTAGCACGTGCTGCATAAGCAGGCATCGAGATAGGTGACAGTGCTAGTTTAGTTCCAACTACTTGTGATGGATCTTTCTCTATTGTTCTAGACGAGTTTAGTATGCTCCATATTAGATTCTGGTATTTCTCCCTCTCTCTTCTTTTTTTTTTTTTTTTTTTGATAGTAACCCCTCTCTCTTCTCATCAAATTGATTTAATGTTTTATGAAAGATACAGTATGAAGTAGATAATTTCAATATTCTACAACAAAGAAGAAGAGAGTATAGTAACATAGCTGGCCTTATTCCACATGAGAAAGCTCACATTTGGAATCTTGGATTTGGTTTGTGATAGAGAAAAAGACTATATGTTATTTATTATAATGAAGGCAAGATCCCCCACTGATGCAGAAACCCTTTTCCCGTGGTGACTTCGAGCACCAAGAGTGCTAGCACCGCTAACATTGCTGCTCTTCCGTTCCATGTTTCTGCACTTTTTGTCCATCCCCATTCCCACATAGTCACCGGCGCTGGTAACTCCCTCCTCTGTGAATCATACGTTGCTAATAGTTCTTCTACACTCCCGAGCGGAACTAACGACTGCCCAACACAAAAGAAAAGAATAACCACCCGGCTAGTCAGAAGCTCGGTATACTTAATTGTGGACAAATGAACCATAGAAGTGAAGATAACAGATTCTTTTGTGGAGCTATAAGTAGATTCAAGATGAAGAGTGTTGTTACCTGTCGAGCTTCAAGGTTTGAGACTGCCATAGCTCCAACATATGGAAGACTTTCCACAACAGCATCTGCCAAGTCAGATATAAACATAGGTTCTGTTCCTAGCGCAGGTACTCGCCCCCAGTTTTTGATACCAGACTTCAAAGCCAACTCTTTATACTCAACATCTATTTCCTCCAGAGTTTCAATGTGCTCGCTCACAAAGCTGTTAAAACAGGAACAAACTTGAGTTTCAAATAACCAGAAGAAAAAATAAGAAGAGACAGAAGATTACCTTATGGGTACAGCCAGAAGATTTTCAACACCTTTTTTACCAAGTTCAGTAATAGCTTCTTCAGTGTATGGTTTTAGCCATTCCACTGGTCCAACTCTGCTCTGTTGGAGATAAAACAACAGAACGAGTGAAATTTTCGACAAAGAGCTAATTCAACAAAAATGGAAAATACCTGATAAGCAAGAGTGTAAGCATTAGTTATCTTTCTCTTGTCTAATTCCTCCATGATCAGATCAACACATTCTTCCATCTCTGCCTTGTAAGGATCACCGGCTTCTTCAACATATGCAAGAGGCACGCCATGTGCACTGAAAAATATTACAACCTGTAACATATATTTTGGTTTGAAGCACGTCTTAGGATAGTTGAATTGGCAAAACCAGAAAAACTACAAAAGACTTGAAGTTCTTTCTTTCCACTAGAGAATAACTTAACATATGTAATCGAGTGAGCAGACACAAGATTGTCTACCTGACTAGGGGAACCAAATTTTCCTAACTCGCTTTGGATTAGATTTGCCATTGCCTTTATATATCCCTCCCGCTGATACCACGATGGTATAACAGTATGTTGCATGTTCACAAGATACTCGTCCTCTCTATCAAAGCACATAAAGGTAAATAACTTGAAAGAATATGGTCTTAGTATACTAAAAAATGAAGGATGTGTGCAAGTCTCACCGAAATATTCTTTCCAAGAGTCTTAGGCTTGAACCACTAGTCGATATCGAAAACTGAGGATAAAGTGGTAGAACAACTAGTTTTGTTATTCCATCTCTTTTTATCTGCAAAAGAGATATAGAAAGAAAATGAGTAAGACTCACAAGGTGCAAATTCCAGGTGTTCACACATAATTCAGGTCATTATTTTTTCTATACAATTGTTCAGCTTCAAAGAAAATATCTATATTTTGCAAATGATGTATGATAAATGTACAAAATGTTGTGGTTTCCTTTAAATGTAACCAACATATGTTAACACGCATATACGAAAATAAAACATTTTTGTTAGAGAGGATCGAGCCTTAAATCAAGATAACCAAGAACCATATTCAACATACCTGTTCAATGGCTTCCTCAGTGAATGGATGCCAATACCGCATACCAACATATACCTTTGCTGGTACATTTTTCTCCCAAAGGGACTTTCTTAATTCTTCAGCCTGGTGCAGGAACAACATAAGAACGTACATGTAACAATGGCAGTAACTATTAGCATAAGTCTTACCGCAATCTCTAGTCCATAAATTTTGCATCATCTCAATAACTCACGACTCTCAAGTTAAGGTATCTCACACAAGCACAAGAGATTTACAAATGGAAAAGAAACTGAAACACTTTGGTATACTAACTAAGCCATTTTAGTTGGATGCAAGCAATGCTTGAGTGCAGGTAATAAAGCCGATTCAGTGAAAATGTAAACCTAGAATAGTCAAGCTATTTTTAACCCGTTGTGATTCACAGTACTTGAAACTTGGACAAAACAGAGAATAAGAAAAGCAGAGTAACGAACCTGTGCATCAGTTATGTGGCGAAGAGGAGAACCACCACCAATAGATGCATATCCTTCCTTGCTTTTGGGAGCCCTTGCTACTGAAATAAACTGTGCTAATGGCTTCTGAAGAAACTGGAATAGCGGTGGCAACCGTATAATGTCCTAACAAACGATTCAACAACAATCATAAGTCCTACGAAACATGTAAAGATTAAATCTTTGAACAATCAAAAACATTGCATCAGTCATTTCAAGGAAGCAGAGAGATATATATTACCGGGTCGGCGAAGAGGTTAAACAAGAAAGGTTGAACATCATCTAAAGTCTCAGGACCTCCAAGATTCAATAACAAGACACCAATTTTGGCATCATCAGTGATAACAGAGGCAGATGAAATAGCATCACTGATAACAGAGGAAGATGAAATGTTTAAAGGGTTTGAAGAAACCAAAGCTGCTCTCAAAGGCAATGAATGTTTCCCAAGAAGCCGGTTTGGTGAAGTAGTAGCAAATGCTTCAAAGGGTAATCTTGAACAGTGTACAATAGATCTCTGTGAATCGTTACTCAATTGTGGCAAGAGTCTGCATACAACAACAAAGAGAATACTAATCAGTTGCAATGTGAAGATAACAGAGATATATACTCATCCGAAACTTACGGAGGACGAAACGTAGAATAGGAGGAACATGAAGAAGAAGAGCAAGAAGAAGGAGAAGCAGTCATGGCTGGGCAATTCATTGCCAAAAATTGAAACTTGAAGAAACCTTAAAGCAGGGATTGGATTTTGGAGGAGGACTACAAAAATCTGTCTGATTTATATTTTTCTCAGATTTTTTTGGTGGTTTTTAATTAATCGCAGACAGAACACAGTTGGGATAAAATGAAAGGGGCTTGAGGAGTGAGGACGGAGAACCACACGTGTCCACACAGTTGTGATAATTTATTTATTTATTCAAGAAAATTGCAAGAGACGAGTTCGGTAAGTGAATCCGGTTGAACCGGTCTGACCGGATTGACCCATGATTCAGTTTCTTATCCGGTTTAAAATATTGAACGAAAAATTTAGGTAGGCAATAACCGGACAATATATAAGATTTCTCCATTGATCACTTGCTTTGTATCTTTGTTTCACATTCAAGTTTTGGTCTATAGTTGATAAATCCAAGTTTCTTTGGAGCTTAGGTAATCACACAAATGTCTGAGTTTCGCGGTTCGGAATCATTGTTTCTTCTCGGGATTCTACTAATTGGGTTTCTCTTGTGGTTTCTTAGTTGTATTTTTGTTTATAGATTGTCAATTCTTTTCTTTGCCTTTCGGTCTTTCCACTCTTACTATATCTATGTATTTTCTATCAAAATTTTCGAAAATGGTATAAATACTTACATTGATACCAAAAAAAAAACCCAAGTTTCTTTGTTACTTGAAACGCGAAAACATAAAATCTTTTATAGTTTTGACACATTTCAATTTCCAACTTTAAACTTAGAAACCTTAAGATGGTGTATTCAATAATTGCCAAACCACAAATAGTTTTTGTTTTGGTTGACAAATAAAGATAAACCTTTTATTGTTCTGATCATTTATCGATCTGTTCATTCACCTGAAAACAGGTCTCTGCAGAGTTCTCCATAGAATCTGGAGACAAGTTCAATGAAGACAGGACTCTTTAGATTCTTCCAACAGAAGAGAAGCTCCTCTATGTCCATTAAGTCATCTATTTTCCCTTCTTCAACAATGAGATGAATAAGATAGTTTTCAAAGCTTCTACAAGCATCTTCCACCGCATTGTCTTCGAATGCTTCTCTTGAGTTCAGCGATTTTCTGGTCCGTATAGAGTAAGGTGTCGTGATGGGTGAAGTGAATAGCTTCTTGGCTGTTGCTGGCGTGAGAGGTGAGTGCATAAACTTGGAATAATCATCATCGTTCACACTAACTGCAATGGCAAGATAAGAGAACAGAGAGATCAAGAAGCTGATAAAATTCAATGTTGAACCGATTTTTTTAGAGAAATTGTCTTACAAGAGGAAGATCTTGGTTTGGTTTTGCTCATCTTGTGGTTCTTGCTTGTGCTGAGAAAACAAAGACAGGAACAGATTGGCTTCTTGGGATGATGATGTTGATGTCTAGGTTTGACATTGCCATGACGGGCACGAAGAGGTCTAATAAAGACAGGTCTTTTAACTCGGAAGCGGAAGAGAGAGACAAATCTGTTGCATGATTTGGAAAGCTTTGATTTGAAGTTAATCAAAGTTGCTTTCACTCTCATTGTCTTGGAAGCTTTTTTGATGATCCTCTTTGGCTTTTTTTTGCTTTGTTTTGGTGTGTATAAGGTTAGAGGATTGGCTTGTGTTGCGTGGAGTTCACATCTTTGGGTGTGAAAATCATGATGGTGGAGTCCCATGAAGTTTTTAAAAACGGTGGAGAAATAATAGTTTTTATTGCACAAGTGTTTGGTGGCTCTTGCTTATAAACAAAATCCAATATGATGAAACTGGCTTTGATTTTGTATATGAATATTCAAAAAGTCGTTGATTGATTGGTGGGTCAACGCAACAGCATATATTGAACATAAACCAGTCCCACGTCTAGTGAAAATATCTCAACTTTTAAATATGAATTAACCCTATGAGTCATGCTTTAAATCTTATTAAAAGATAGTTGCCAAAACAATTGATCTGGAAAGAGGAAATGTATAGAAAAAAAAGAGTGTCCTCAAAATGTTCGGCGTTAGTGGACAATAGACCAAAATTTTCTCAAATTCATCATTATGACTCCAAAGTTGATCCCACTTTATTCAAAGGAGAAAATGGATTATATTTGATTATCCTAATCTGATCATTTGTATATCTGTACCACCTTAGTATAATTATATAAAGTGGGACAAATACTAAAGTATTTCTACCTAAAAACTTAATTAAGATAAGGTTCAGACTTTAGCAAATTCAAAGAAGCATCGAAATGAAACTATTTAACGTGAAATTTAACCAAGATAGATTCGTATGTGTAAAAAGTTTTCGTTGAATTTTGTATGTATTTGTTTTTATTAATAATTTTGATTTGTCCGTTTAAATTAATGGCTGCAAATAGTGTGGAACGTTTTAATATCTTCATTCAAAAAGCTTATTCAGAAGAAGAAAAAAGCTGCATTTTTCTTCTGTAATTGCCATTTGGTCAACCTCTTTGGTGGATTCTTTAAAACTGTTTACATTTTGCTACTCTTTATAATTCGATATTTACTTTTTCAGTTATTTTATCATTTCTATGAAGTGTATAATCCTCATGAAATGATGTTAGAAATCTGTCAGAAATCAGAATCAACTGATTCTATGTTTTTTGTACTATTCGACTAATTTATTAATATTGTAGATAAAAATTTTGTTCTTTTATTTTCAATTTTTTCAACCAAATATGTTTTCAAATCAACCAAAAATAATTTCATTTAATTAATGTGATCACAAGCGTGTAAATGTTGACAATGATACCAAATAAAAGACATTCTTTAAGCTTTATCTAGTAGTGAGCCCCACTAGTTTCCAATTTTAATCTTCAGTTTCTTCTTTATCTGTCACAGACTCACATAGAGACTTTGCTTTCTCACCTTCTTCTTTATCTAAGGAAACAAAAAAACAGAGGTTTTTAAGAGAGACATCACATAATCTTGTGAAGAGAGATGGGGAATTACAAGTTCAGAATTTCAGAAATGCTCCCAAATGCATGGTTCCACAAGCTCAAAGACATGACTAAACACTCTAAACCCAAAAACAAATCTTCTTCTTCTTCCTCAAACACTTGTAGCAAGAAGAAACCTTACTCAGATTCTCTTCCTCATCACTCTGATTTCTCCAACAGCTTAGTAGCTAACAATCCTCCTCACCATAACTCACCAAGAAACTCTCTTCACACAAAAAGGATGAGTAAAAGAAAGACACTTTACAAGCCATCCCTTAAACCTTTGACTCCTCCTCCTCTTGTATCTGCAAGTTTCAACAAGAGCAAGATCAACGGTCAGGATTCGTCTTACAGCTTGTTCCCAGCTCTTGAAACCTCCCCTGAGTCTTTTGTGTATAGTTTCTACGAAGAGGAGGAGGAGGATGAGTTCGTTGACTTTTCCAACTTCAAGATCAACACAAAGAACAAAGCTTTCACCAAGCACAAGGTCAAAGTGTTTGATTCGAAAGAGAAAGCTTGTCTTGCAAGTAATCCGATCAAGAAACCGCAGAAAAGCCATCTTTCTGTGAAAATTAACAGAGAGAAAGAAGAAGAAGACGATGGTGAATATAGAGCAGAGAAGAAATACCAAAGGCAAGTTTCTAGTGGAAGAAAATCATCTGCTGGGATAAACCTCAAAAGAGTAAATTCACCTAGAATTCAACTCTCAGGTACTCGTAGAAGCACTTCTAGAAGATCAGAGAGCAAACAAGATGTTCTTGAGAGCTTCGCTGTGATGAAGCGGTCCTTGGATCCAAAGAAAGATTTTAGGGAATCAATGATTGAGATGATAGAAGAGAACAACATCAGAGCTTCAAAAGACTTGGAGGATCTTCTTGCTTGTTACCTTTCTTTGAATCCAAAAGAGTATCATGATCTTATCATCCATGTTTTCGAACAAATCTGGCTTCAGCTTACAAAAACCAAGTAAAGAAAAGAAAAAGAAAAAACTCTTAATGTAATAGTAGAGTTAACCTAATGGTCAAATTAGTATCAATATTTGTCTTGTGAAATTTGTAGTTGTTAACTTGTTGTTGATGTTCATAAGAAGTTAGATGGAACTGTGGAGATTCTCTTTGAATCCCATTTTTTTTTTTTATGTATTTCTTTTTTCTTTATTTCTCTTTTGTAAAATGTAAGCAAATAATAAAAGTTGTTATCATATTGTCGTTTAAATACAAACATGATCACTAAGGGCGTGAAAACACAGTTTAATTAAGACAGAATTGATCACTAAGCATATTCTTGTCATCTCTATGATTATGAACATATATATAATACTACTCACAAAAGATGCATCAAGATTTGATTATTTCTTAGAATATGAGGATGGATTTTGCGCCATTATCATTTGAATATTTTGAAATAACAAAGTTGAAAATGGCGGTAAAAAGAGCAACCAGAAAAAGACAACAGTGAAGAGACATGAACAATTTGAAAATCCAACAAGTACGGAGTATATAGATGCATGAAGAACATTGGATAATCGTTGAAGGTAGAGAGAGGACCACACTGACACATAAACTGACATGTGAATAAAGAAGAAAGAAACAGAGATGAGTTTTAATCCATAAGGTTTATTTCTTTTTCTGTGAAGAAGAAGGAAGAATGAAGAGGAAGAGGAAGAGGACCACTGTTGCACATTCCATCCCTCACCTCTGTTTGCTTATGAACTTTCAGCAAAAGACATGTGATATGGTATGGTTTTTGACTTCTCAGTGAATTGAGCAACAAATATTCAAATCAATGGGCCTAATGGATCTTGCAGTGTTGGATTATAAAGTTTAGAATTAAAAAGAATAGGTGATATATATACATATGAGATAACCTCATAACTATAAACTACAGTACTACACCAATTATCATGAACAAAACATGACTCACACAAACCTTTTTCTATCTTGATCTTCTAGCTTAATAATTAAACTAATTTGTTCACAAACTAATTTGATCTCCTAGCTTAATAATTAAGCCTTGATTCACAAACTAATTTGTTAGCCTAAAACTACACAAACTTTTAGATTTCGCTTTAAATTCAATAAGACCGAAACGATTCATTTATAAATAACAATTATATACTCCCTCTGTTACTCTTAGTCTGATGTTTTGGTTTTTCATCTTATTCCACAAAGATTGATGTTTTGTAGAAACATCATTATTACTTCCACTTGAGATCAATAGAGGAAGGAGAGAAGTAGAATTAACATTATTAAACTAACAAAAAAAATAGTATCAATTTTACTTTTTCTTAAATTGTGTGAAAACCCAAAACATCATTCTTGATGATCAGAGGGAGTATTAAATTGCATTCCAAATTTGGATTCCTTTTTTAAATCTTGTAAAATTTAGTCAAATGGATCTAGGAAAATAACAAAACTTTGTGTATAGTAGTTTCATTCATGTCGACATATGGTTGTTTGTGTAGTTGTTATACTATTTTTTAAGTCAAATTGTAAACCATTTTTCAAATAGAAATGATGACAAAAATTTCTCCAAATTTTTATTTTTTTATAACAAATTATATAGCGTGGATTATTGTATCATAGTGTTTTTAATAAATCCATTTATCCAAAACTTGAATTTATATTATTATTTTTGATATCCAATTCTGAATTAGTGAATGAACTTGACATAATAAACAAAAAGGTTTATATATTTAAATTCTTAAATTAAAATGTAAAGTTTACAGTATAAGTATATTTTTTTTTTTGAACACCAACAGTATAAGTAGTTATAAAGGATAAATAAATGAAATAAAATCAAATTATGCCATCATTTTATATGTCTGTAATGCGAGCACACGAGTGAGTGAATGTATATTTGGGCATGTCAATTAGGGTCAAAGCCCGTGGACTGGCCCGGCCCATCCCTGAAAAATAGTGGTGTCGGACTTAAATGTGCAGAAAAAAATCAGGTCTTACGGACTAAGTCCGTTGGACTAAAAGGTTTTTAGGGCTTAGTCCAGCCGGATTCGGACTGGCCCGAAAAGTCCTTAAAAAGAGATTTTAACTTTTTTTTTATTAATATTATTGTTTAATAAAGAGATTTGTTTAAAGATTTTTTTTAATAGAGTTAAAAACCCTATTAAAAGTTTTATTTGACTTTATATTTTATTTGGTGTGGGTTTAAACAATTTATTTGGATAATTTATTTGATTTTAAACTTTTTAAAAACTAAATTAGCTTTGTTGGTTATTTAAATTTCGTTAGATTCGTTTTATACATAGATTCTTTTCTTTTTCCAAAAGATATTATATAATTAAAAGGTTTTTTTTTTTCTCGAAAAAAAAGCCTAAAAAACCCCGTAAAAACCCTGTAGCCCTGTTAGGGCCGGACCGAGCTTCAAAATCTAGGTTTGAAATTTTTACGGACTAGACCGAACTCAAACATATGCGGGTTTTGAGGACTTCGGTCCGGAATAGCCCGATTGACCTGCCTATGCATATCCAATAAAATAAGATTTGTTTTTTTCTTCTACTTAAATTCAAAATTGAAAGCAAAGGAAGAAAAGAAATCGAAATCGGAAAGTGTATATTGTTGTTCTTCGATTCCTCGCTCTGCGCCGCGTCCTCTCTCTCAAATTCAACGGAAGCAACCTTCTTCTCCGATCTTCGTCTGGTTCGTCTCTAAACCCTACTTTTCTTCTATTCACAGTATATCTTCTTTAAATTTCAATCGAAGCTAGCTTTGTGTCGATCTCAAAGTAGATCGGAATCAAGTAAAAGAGATCTCTAAAATCCAATTTGTTCCCGATTTATTGCAAATGCACGACTCGTAGAATCGTCACCTACATTAGTCTAGATCTAATCGTCTTTTGAAATCGAAATTTAGTTAAGGAAATCGCAAAACCTAGTTATGGAACCGTTGCGTCTTGCGTTGTTCGCTGGTGATGTAGGATTTTGGTGTTTGTACTTTGTCAGAATCAATGGCAACGATTAGGAACTTGAAGATAAAAACATCGACATGTAAAAGGATTGAGAAAGAGCTTCACTCTTATGAGAAAGAAGTTGAGAGAGAAGCTGCTAAGACTGCTGCTATGAAGGACAAAGGTGCTGATCCCTACGACCTTAAACAGCAGGTACAAATTTCAAAGATGATCTTCTCCATTTGTAATCTCTAGGTATTCGAAGATGATAAGATATGTTTGTGTTTGTGTTGTGTTCTTAGGTTGCATTTAGGTTCTTGCCGTTAGCCATTTGTATCATGTAAAGCTAAATTGGTTACAGGGTTTCAGATTCCGATTCAGACTTGGTTTTTCCTAATTGTGTATGTGGTGATGCAGGAAAATGTGTTGGGTGAGTCTAGGATGATGATTCCGGATTGCCACAAACGACTCGAGGCTGCATTAGCTGAACTCAAGTCCACTTTGGTAATTACATTTTCCATTGTTATTGATTGCTAAGCATTGGTCTAGCTTTATGTATTCGTTTATAAGAAATGCAGAGCGGTGATTTGAAGTTTAAGAGCATCACATTATCAAATTATAACTTTATGCGTCTATAGCGATTGGATTAATCCCCCGAATGAAAGCATCTTAGACTCTTAGTCCCTCTCTGAAGAAAACGATGAATAAGGACACAGAGGAAACAGCGAAATTCCTACTGTGTTCTGTCGCTAACAAAAACTGAATTTGCAGGCGGAATTGGAAGAGACGGATGAGAAGGAAGGTCCAGAGATTGAAGATGCAAAGAAGACAGTTGCGGGCTTGGAGAAGCAGTTTCACACTGAAGATGCCTGATTTATTGATTTAGCCATCTGTGAGTGCTTGCTCTGTATTCTGGAAATGGTCTAGTTAATCAATTGTAAGAATCTTCGTCTCTGTCGAATCGCATACACTAAAAGTTGCCTTCTTTGAACTCTTAATACATTTTGGTGATCGTTCTTGCATTCAATATCTTTCAAATGTACCACACCAGCTATAATGTGTTATAGCTGCAACTAAACGATTGAAAATTGATATAACTTGGACAACCATTATACGTTCTGGTTATGAGCTAAAACGATGATGAATCACACTACCGCAAACTAAGTGAAGATTAAGAGCATGGTTTGAGGAAATGTGATCTATCGGATTCTCAGCACACAATCACTTGGTTTGCCAAGAGATTCAACAATTTTCTCTTTGATGAGAATAATAAAAACATTCAGGATATGTTCTACTAAACGATTTAAAGTTTGATTTCTTTCAAATTTTAGCTTTTCTTGTCAATAACAAAAGAAATTAAGGAGGAGAAGAAAAAAAGGGAGAATTGTTAAAGTGTCGTCGTTTGTGGGAGAAAAAGTCAGAGTTTCTCATAATCCAAAATCTCTCAATCTCATTTGCCTTTCGTCCGACCACTCTTCCTGCTATTAAATCCCACCTGACAACATTCAATACAGGAAAAGAAGAAATTTAAGTTTCTGTTCTTACATTCTATTAGTTTACTATATCATTCATTCCGTTTCACTGTTTTTACACTACAGGAAAAGAAGAAATTTAAGTTTCTGTTCTTACATTCTATTAGTTTACCGACAACATAAAAGCTTTTGTAAAATAAAGTAAAAAGACTCAAAAGTAATTTTTTCCCATTTGTGCTAAGAGATGGTGAACTTTTTCTAAAACTTGAAAAAGTTGGATACTACGATGGCATCATATGTCAAACACGTTCGAAACTACTCTACAATAACGCATTATCAACCTTATTAAATGGACCTAATTTATGATAAAAGTTATGACTAATATATGCATGCTACATCAAAAATCATCTAAAGGCTTATTCAAAAACCGAATCAGAAGGTGAACCAAAAAGTTTCATGAAGCACTATTGGGTAATTTAGTTGATCTGGTATAACTGCTGGTTAGTGAATTTTTGTATTAGTTTTTAACTTTTTATCAAACATAAAATCAAACCTTATACAGCAATTTTGTTTTGGGTTTTTCCCCTTTAACACAAACTAAGACATTATACAGACATATTTAGGCAAAAAACAACTATTTTATATTTGGAATAGATAAATATATTATCAGAAGAAGAGACTTCCTCTTGGAGTGGGAATTACCTATCACCGACAAGTCTGTGCATTCGAGAGATGAGATCTTCCTCTTGTTCGGTCATACTGATAAACTCCCATTCGATGCTACTCACTTCTGCATTTTAGTTTAGTTTTATTCAACCAAAATTACATGAGAAGATACTTTAACGTTGACAAGTTAAGAGGATGAGCCAGTCTAGACCCCAAAAAAATTAAGAAAACGATTTGAGACTAATAAAATTAAAGAGAGACCTTCGGAGTCATGTCGCGATCTAGTGAACTTGGTTTGCCTAAAACTGCGACCGCGACGAAGACGGTTGGTATTATTCATAACTACTGTGGAAAGTATAAGAAGATTATGTAAATATAGAGAGAAACTGAAATGTAGGGTTTGGAGAATGCAAGGTAGAATAGATGTGAGGGAAACAAAAGTTATGTAGAAAGAGAGAGAGAAGAAATGGTTATTTTTTATTGGAATTTCTACATACTCCTTAATATACTATTACTCACTTTTTTATAGACATCCCGATTGAATACGTCAAAACAAAATTTTGAGATATGTTCGATTTGTTTGTTACTATTCAAAAAGTTCATAATGCTCACAATAAATTTTGGTCAGATTTTGATTTCTGACCTAAATTCACAAAGGAAATCTTTGGACGTCATTCGAAGTTACTATCCATTTTTTTTTTTTTTTTGATAATGGTTTTGTAATATCCAAAATTTGAGAACATTTTAACAAAGTCACTAAAATGAGAACATTTTAACAAAGTCACTAAAATGACGTGTTAGTTTCATTCTTCTTGGCTAGTAGCGTATTAAAATCGACTGAAAAACATCACATGCAATTACATTTCGCAATAAATATCGTGAACACGTAAATCCTACAAGTTATAATTTATATCACAGTTTTCCTTTTTATGTTTTGGAAATTTTTACGGACGAAGAATGGAATGTGAATGTACATTAACTACAAGTTTATTTTAGAGTTCTCCAATACCATTAGTTGAGATTTTTTTTCCCCAGAATTTTCTATTTCATGAAAATTGGACAGTCCAAAAACCGTTAATTTTGTGTTGTGAATTGTGATATATAGTTCTGTGGGTCGTAATGGTACTTATAAAGTCCAACAAAACTTTTGTTTTCTTGTGCCTTTTTCTCGTTAGACATTCTTTGGAAATTTATATATGCATACCTCAACAAATTATTGGACCCTGTGCTATGCTGCAATTTTTTTTACGTAATGGTCTAAATATTTAACATTTTAAAAATTAGACCCTTAATTATAATTATTTGAAAATTTTGGACCCTAAAATACAAAAAAAAAAAGTGGGACATTGTGCACTAGCACACCCAGCACACCCCAAGAGCCGGGCGTGCATGCCCTACAAATAATTTTATTTATGCATCTACTCAATTATCGTCTCAGTGGCATAGGGGCGGAGGTAGTGTTATAAGAGGGGGTCAATTGACACCCATGAAACTTTTTAACTTAGTGTAATTTTGATTAAAATTTCTAAGTTGACCCTATCCAAAAATAAAACTTGACCCCTTATCACTTTTTAGTTTAGTTGCAGCTCAATAAATATTTGAATAATACAAACTTATATTTCAATAAAACTCCTCCAATATATATATATATATATATATATATTATATATATATAATAAAATAGTTTCATTTTTAAATAATTATTTAGTTCGTTTTTATTAAAAACAAGTAATTAATATCGTGACAAACTAAAAAACGATCAAAATAATAAAAATATAATGCACATGGTACATTTTTAAGGTGTATTTTTACAAAAAAAAAATTATGTAAAAGAAAAAAAATTTGATCCCTATAAATTAATTTTCTGCCTCCGCCACTGCTGAGTGGTGATAAATGCAGTAACTGTAAGAAACGGACGTATCAATTTCATTTCCTGACAGATTGAAAGTTGTCTTAGGGTCTGACTGGTGCATGGTTAGAAGAAAAATTATTGGAGGAATTGGGAAGAATTTTTACCTCTTCTATTTATCAGAGTAACGTTTTCTTCTAAGAAAAAAAAAAGTTTCTGTGATAACAAAAATAAAAAAGGTGGGCCCGAAAAATATCAGAGGATAAATATTTCTTCTGAAGTGTTCACCAGTCAGACCCTTAGAGAAATCAGTACTTATATGATGAGCATATCATCTTCTCAGCGTGAAATAATAATGAACCATTTTTTATTTTACCCTCCATATAGATATTAAAGAAATACGTTAGGAGAAAAACGGTCCTACGTTTTAGACCAATTCAAAAAAATATATGAAATTCCTCTAATTTATCATTATGTGATCATAATAATGGATATAAATATATCAATCGTGACATAACATTAAAATTGATGGACTAGAACGACTTCATTGAACCATGCTTGCAGCTGTTGTCTAGTCACTTCAACTCAACTTGGTAAGAGCATGTCGAGACAAAATCATACATTTAATGAATGCTATATGGCTACATAAAAAAAAAAGATTTTATGTCGTGATCTTTATTAAGGTTTTGAAGGTTATTAATATGCAAATGATGGTTCTCAAGTAAAGCGGCTAAACTGATTCTAAGTGCGAAAGGACAAGAATTTTCGTTTAAGTGTTTACCAGATTTGATTGGCCTAAAAAGGGAAAAACATGGCTTAATGGCCCAACTCTTTTTTTTTTTTAATGGCTTAATGGCCCAATTTGATGAGCAAGTTCTAAAACTCCTATACTATGAGTCTTTGAGCTCTCTTTTTCTTGAAACTCAGATAAGTTTGAGAAGGGTCAAGATGACTAAGAAGATGAAGAGATGCCAAGCATGATATTTGAGGGCCGGATGGTTAAGATAGTGGAATGATTTTGTACTAAATGTTCGAGAGTCATGTTGACCTAGTTATACCAAGAATAATGGTTGAGAGCTGGGTGGTTACGAACAATAATGCATAAGGAACATGTGCATGAAATCGAATGTTTATGATTATGTGAGCATGAATATGAGATTGTATGAATGATTTAGATGTCTTAAGCATGATACTATGTGATTTGATTGAGAGTGGTTTGTTAATTAGGGTGATAGCATGTGGGTGGAAATAACCTTAAGTTACTTATGCATTCTTTTATGATGCAAGTTAGGAGTCGTGTATTATTTCGCGTAAAGACTATAGAATCATCAGCATGCATGTCTAGTATTTTGGATAGAATTTTATAGGAGTATTAAGATTTTGTAGCATTCGTCTATTTTTAACTGTTGATGGAAATGAATGTCTATATCATTTTCCCATGCGTTTGACTCTTTAAATTTTTTATTATTTCCAAATGATTTCGAAGTCAAATTCGGCTTGGTTTTATTTCTAAATCGGAATGTTTCATATATGACTCATTCAATCTGAACAAGAAGTAGAAATTAAATTCAGACTATCCGCTGATCATCTTCGTTTTTAGTCTCTGGCTATTCAAAGATTCACAGATGTCTTAGTGACTTTGTTCAACCTTAGGTTCGAGGATATTATTATTGGTTACTTTCATGATTGTAAATATAATTACCAAAGCATATTCCGAAGAGATTTGTGTAAAGAATTTGTCGGTTAAGAAAGAACTTATTAGGTTGTAATGTGACATGCCCATTAATTACAAATACTAAAGTTGATATGGTATAAAAAGCCTAACCTTTGACTTGATGAAATCACCTTCTTTTTTTGTTCTCTTCCTAAAATAATTGAATCTGGGTGTACGTATCAGCCCCGGCTCAATATATTTGAGAGCCTTAGGGCAAAAAAATTTTTTTTGGCCTATTATTATATACAAAGAGAAAATTTACCTAATTTTTAAAAATTTTGCAGAGTTTTTATTGTAAAAATTGTTATTTTAAAAATTTTAGGCCTTTTTATACATTTTCTTATAAATAATTAGGCCTTTTAAAATATAATTCTCATATTAATAATATTTTTTAAAAATATTTGGGCCTTTTTTATATGTAAATTTTTTTATAAAAAAAAAAACCCCGGACCGTCGCACCTCCGCCCTAACCATCTGAGCCGGGGCTGGTACGTGTTTATGGGAAATATACCAAAGTTAGGTGTATATGTATCATTAAGCTATATGTTACATTACATATTTTAGATATGATAGATGGTCTCTCTTCAAAGCCAAAGAGATATGTTTTGTTTAACACAAGAACACATAAGAACATGTAACTAAAGAGATAAATTCTGTTTTGTCAATTTTCAAGTCTCCCTTCAATAGATGATCGATGATTGTTTAAATACACGAAAAGAAAATAAAGAAACTAACCACTAAAGCTACAGTTAAGAAACGTGAGAAGTGGAAATGCAATCCCACTAATATAGGATAAGCAAAGAAGATAGCATGAACCCAATTTTATCTTCAACCTAACTAATGACGGTTTACTCCGGTTAACCGGTTATGTTCTCATCAAGATACCGATTATGATAAACCTCAGAGCTCATTATCATTGTCCTAACTGTCCATGTGGTACGGTGATCAAGAAAATGTGTTGGTGGTGAGTCAAACATGATGATTTTCGGATTGGCCACAAACGTCTTGAGGCTGCATTAGCTAACCTCAAGTCCACTTTTTAAACCATATATACTTTAACATATTAAAAACCTTATTCAGGTTTGGCTAAAGTATGAATAGATTCATCTCTACTCATATCTCCTTTTATAGATTCTTACTTGTTTTTATCTTTGTTTTTAGGAACAATCTTTTGTGTAAAGAATATTGTAGTTTCTACAAACATTTTCATTTAATGAAAATTCATATATTCATCAAAAAACAAAAAATCCACTTTTGGTAATTACATTAATACATTTTCCATCGTTATTGTTTCCTTAACCGTAAATTAACTCTTAAGCACAAATGAATTTGCAGGCGGAATTTAAAGAAGGTGGAGGAAAGGAAGGGCCAGAGATTAAAGACGCAAATAAGACAAATAATAGAGGTAGCGAGCTATAGAAGATGAATGGTTATAACATCTGAGTGTTAGGTGTGTGTGAGTGGTCCTTCATCCTTGTCGAAATGGTAGGGAATATTCTTCTTCTTTTTTTTTATGCTATCTACTAAACTAAAAATATATTCGTTTACTCTAAATCTTTATTTTTTTCCTATCAATATTTTGACGGAGTTACAACTTACAAAATGTATAGCTGGAATTGAACAAGATGAGTAGCACAACTTGTAGAATTGACAATAACTTGAACAACCATTAATGAGAAGAATAAACATCGATCGAAGTTTTGTTCTACGTACTCATCAACAACATAAAGCTTTTCTTGTCCATAATAACAGACAATTAAGGAGGAGAAATAGAGAAACGGGAAAGTTTGTGGAATCGGCGGCGTCGTTTGTGGGAACAATGATCACAGTTTCTCATAATCCAGTATCTCTCTATGTCTTTTGCCTCTCGTCCTACCACTCTTCCTGCTATTAAATCCCACCTAATATTATTCAATTCATGGCCAACATCTTATTAATTAACTATTCATTATGAATGTTTGCATATGTTAAAAAAAATATTATTTAAATTTGATAATATTTTTTATATAGTGAATTGAGTTAATAGAGATCATAAAACTGAATTTTGGTTTTAAATTTGGTACTAAAAATAAAAAGATATAAGAAATTTCCAAAAAAATATATTAATTTATTATGAAACATCAATTAATACTTAAAATTCATATCAACGTTTATGAGCTAGCCACGCATATTTGGAAGTTATATATCCTAATATACAAGAGGTATCCACAGTTAGATCGACCATTATCATATAAGTAATTATGTAGTAAAAATTGTATTAGTTTTTTTTGAAAGGTTGTTGTATGAGTTACAAAAAAAACCATGTGTTGTTTTAACTAGTAGTATAAGATTGTATACATATCTAAAGTTTTTTTTCACACAAATTAAAGAAAACTATTAATTTTTTTTTGTTTTACTCTTTATTAATATATTTTATATAAAAAAAATTATTGGTTAAGATATTAAATAATAGAAATAAAATTAAAATTTTTACCAAACGTTTGTACTAAAATCCTAAAATTTTATATATTATAAAACAAATTTTAAAACGATAATTAAACTAAAACGAAAGGAGTAAAACATGGAACATCATATCTTCAAAATATATTTATCGTGGACACCATTGCTTCACGTAAGGGTATGCCTAAACTCACACACGGAGACACACATATTATATAGATAGCAATACGTCAAGATGAATTTAAAATTTTATATGGAACGAGATATCTGTACACAGAAGAAGAAGATGTTACCTATCACCAACAAGTCTGTGCATTCGAAAGATGAGATCTTCTTCTTGTTCCGTCATATTTGTAAACTCCCATTTCACACTACTTACCTCTGCATTTTAGTTAGTTATATTCAATCAAATATGAAATATCATTGAAATTAAAAAGGAGAGCGTAGCTAAGTTAAATGGATGAGTATATTAAACCAAAAGCAATGTCGATTAGATATTAACTAAAAACTAAAGAGAAACCTTCGGAGTAACGTAGAGTGAACTTGGTTTGCTTAGGACTGCGAAGGGGACGAAGACGGTTGGTGTTATCCATTGGTATTGGAAACTGAAAGAAGTAAAGAGAGTATCAAGAACAAGTCTACTGATGATTTGAAGTTTGGGGAATGCAATGGAAAAAGTAGATGTGAGGTAGAGAAAACTATATAGAAAACTTGTGACGAAGAGTAAAGAGAGAGATATAGAAAAGAGGTCCCCAAGCTATCGTAATGAGGACTACTGGACCAGTAGACTTGTTCTTGATACAATTGGATAAGATATCTATATCCACTTCAATCCATTATCTTCGATACGATTTGAAAAAAACAAAAATTGTCAATTACGATATAAATGAAATACTAAAATATAATGTTTATCAAAATTGATGTAAACTACAAATTTAAAACTTTGGATACTTGCTTCGCTCTCAACTACATTGTTTAGGAGATTTTTTCTTGTGGGGTTGACTACTAGCTAGGGGAAAAGTCTAACAAGTACGTAATACCGGAAAACACAATGAGAACAGAAAATTAACGGAATGAATAACCACGCAGTAAGTCGTGGAGATATGAATGGAATACACAATTTTATAGATATACACTAAATATCCAGCTATTTAAGCAAATATGAATCATAAAGACTTATCTTAAAAACCATATAACATGTCATGGATACAAAAAGAAAAAAAAAAAACCAGCTCCGCGTTGAGCCCTAATTGTTGATACACTCATACACAACACAACCCAAAATAAGAAATGATGGGGATGAAATGTATTTATTGGAATTTGCATGTATTTGAATTCGAGTATCACTTTTTTAAAGCGAAAACTTGCTCGATTTTTATATCACCTAAGAGGCTGAGACGTTTATAGTGATCGTGAAAATGGTGGTAATTTCGATCATTGATCACCTACGTAGTACATAGAAGCAAATTCACCACTAATGCGGCATGACTCATCTTACTAGTGGATCTTGGAATTTTTATGTAGAAACAATCAAACTCTAACATAGTTTTTGAACTAAGTCGCAGAAATAACGTGTTAATTTATTATTCACTATAGTATAACGCTAGTTCTAATTAATATATTCTTTTTGTTCTTTATTATTGTAATTTATAGGAAAAACTTTTGTTTCAAAAAAGATAGATATTGTAAGTTTTTTATGCATTATTTTATTGGTTATTATTGATGAATTGTAAACTTCAAGAAAATTAATTGGTTTAGATTTATAAAAAATTGTAAATCATAAAAAATAATACATTTATAATTATTTTTAATATATTTTCATAATATGTGTAAAAATCCTAGAAAATACATTAATAATGAACATAAGAATTATATGACAGCATCCAATATCAATCATTCTCACAGTTTTTCTTTTTATATATAATTTTGGAATTTCTACGGACGGAGATAGATGTTGGCCTGTGAGATATTAAGTTACAACAATGTTAAGTACAACTCTATTAGAGTTTTCCAATATCATTTAGATTTTTCTTGTGTACTCGTATAGCCCAGCCAGTAGCCAGTAGCGGTTTGTTTGTACTTTTTCTTAACACTTTTGGCATTCTACACATATTACCTTATTTGTTTATCGATGTACACATATTACATTCTACTCACTCTCTTTCACTTTTGGCATTCTACACACTTTTTTTTTCTTTCACGTTTGGCATTCTACACATATTTAAGTCTCTCAATAAATGTCTCTGCCGTGCCAATGACTTAAGAGGCCTATGGCTAAATTAAAATTGTGGCCTTTTTAATTATTAAAAAAACTCAATTAACAAAATATCATCAAAAACTTTGGTAAGAAATAACTTCAATAGAGTAAGAAAATATGTAAGATAAATTATAAAATAATAAAGGATGAAAATTAAAAGATAAATGACTGTGGTGATAAAAATCCAATAGGAAAAATAAACTAAACATAAAAATTAAACAAGTAAGCTAAACACACATAAATTTGTTAATGTGGCCTAAAATTTGAATATAGTATTGTGGCCTAGGGCTGTTGCCCCATTTTTAACTGAATAGGCACGGCACTTGTCTCAGTGATAATAAATTCAGTTTCTGTAATAAGAAACTGACACCTAGCAAGCTCAATTCTGTTCAAGGTTTAAAGTTTATTTATTTATTTTTTTTTATTTTGTTGGTAAAAGAAGGTTTAAAGTTGTGTCAGAGAAATCGCTAGTGTTTGGACCATTAGGTTTTGTATCATATAATGTTCATATCTCAGCGTGAAACTATAAAGAACCATATACATTTTTACAAAAACATTTAATTAATTAGTACAAGACAAATCCTGTTTCGTTTTTAACTAACAAAAAGAATCAAGGCTTAACCTCGACTAAGCTCTCCACTTATAATAATGTTAAGTTCCTCTATGATTTTGGTTTCTTTTCAAATCACTTTTGATCAGTGTATCAGATTTGTTCTTTAGATAAGTTTTGTTTTTTTTTAATTGGTTTAAGTTGATCATGTAATTCCAGTATGGTTACAGTCTCTTATAGAGGCTGATATGCCAAACATTTCTTCAGTCCGATAAGTAATAATGTGTAAGTTGAGTCAAAATTAATTAGAAGAATTAACAAAATTCTTGATCTAGAGTAGTCAATCTGATTTTATTGTTAACAAGAGTTTTTCATATATCATCATCTTGAAATAATATCATCATATCTTATCGTTTAGTAAAATAGAGAGATCGTTTGTGATTTCTATATTAACAGCTTTTCTTATTTATTAGACAAACGCAGGGAAAACGAAAGTCTATATTTATCATTACGTGATTATATATTATAGATTGGCGGCTAAGATTTATATTCAGTAAAAACTGACTAGTCTTTAATTACAATATATATATATAGATAGATATATAGCTTTTTGTTGTAGTGCAATAATTTAATTTAATTTAATTATATCAAAATACTATAGCATGGTGCAAGCGAGGACTTCCTTATTTATGTTTTCCTCTGTTTAGGTTAATCATAAACAGCAGATATTATAGTACTATATATATAGTAAATTTTGGTAAAACTTGCAAGAAAACCAGACCTTGGAAAAAAAAAACATCAAACATGGTTTGAGTACGTCACGTCAACTAACGTTTATCCATAACTTATCTATTAGTATATATATGAGTGATGCCAAATTTAAAAACCAGATCAATAAGTATCAACTAAACAAAAAAAAAAAGACAGATTGAATAAATACATGGTTTGTTGATTGGTAGATGTTTGTCGATTTAAGAACTTGTCGACAATATTTCTGAAGTGGTCCAATGATTATAAATGTGAAGTAAGAACGACTACGTAAATTCACTTCACCGTACCCATTATATGAGTGAACAGAATGGATTCATCATTCATCTTAGCCTCCCCCACAAAACTACGTACGTACTGAATATGAATCATGAATCTTTAGATTTTACTTTAGATTTTGCTTGCCCGCCTCTATAAGTTTCAACATTAATTTAGTTATTGTTACTTAATTTTGTTTAAGATAAAATTATTGCTACTTGAAAAAATTATTTATCAAAGAATCAAAACTAACACTAACATGTGGGGAAAATGACCAAAAAGAAATGTCCAACTTCTTCTGCTAATCCAAAGAAAAACTCACCAATATAGACACTCATAGGTAATATTGCATAATCGCATAATAACATAAGTTGCAGAATTAATAAAAACTTGTAAAATAAAAAATCGCAAAATAAAATTACTTAATAAAAATATATTGATTGGATACATTGTAATGGCAGAACATATTTGACAAACCGTTGCAACATTTGGTATATTTGACATTTGGTAACATTGCATAATCGCATAATAACATATTTGACAAACCGTTGTAACATTTGGTATATTTGACAAACCATTGCAACATTTGGTATATTTAACAAACCATTGTAACTTTTAGTATATATGATATCTACGGTCCCGTCTTTCGACTATAGTTCTTTATCAAATTTTTAATTTAATTACTATTTAAATGAATACGTTGCTACCATTTGATAGAACATAGTAATATTTGGTTTATTTGACGAACCAATGAATATTTTGGTTTATCTGATGAACTGTTGTAACCTTTGGTTTATTTTATGAACCGTTACAAATTTTGATTTTTTTTACATTTGATGAACCATTGCAACTTTAGTTTATTTGATGAATTATTATAATTTTAGGTATCTTTGATGAACCGTTGCAACATTGCCCTCTATAATACCTTTTTTAGAGCATTACCTCAAGTTTTTTTTTTGAACAAAGCATTATCTAAAGTTATATATGTTTATTTAAAGTATTATCTTGTCACTATGTTTTATTCGTGTTTTTTTATCACAAACTCTTTGTTCTAATAATTGTGTCTTTTACAAACAGTTTTTTCTATTTAAACTTGTATGTCTTTTTAACTTTAGATATATTTTCTTAAAAAGTGGTATAAATTTGTTATTTCTTTTTGTTTGATATTTCTCATAAAAAAGTACATTTTTTGCTATTTAGCATTCGTATATATACTTTGTTATCTATATCATTTTTATTTTTTTCTAAATAACTATCAATTTTGGTTATTTGTTAATTTTTTCCGAAGATTTTCCCTCTTAACATAACACAATTTAAAATATTGCGTCTTTTTATCATTATATTTTGATGAATATATTTATATAGTTATATAGTTATATTTATAATTGGTTAAGAAACTGAAAAATTGCATCTACTCATTATAACTTTTTGTTTAATTTTTCTTTTAAGATCGCATCTTTTCACCATAATATTTTTTAATAATAATACAAATCTTAAAAAATATTTTTGAGGGTCTACGTCTCTTTATCATATTTTCGTAAAATATATATTTATTTATGGTTAAAAAAAAATTGTTTTGAAACTTGTTGTTTCAATTTATTATTATGACATTTCGTTTGATATTTTTTTCTATAAACTTTTTTGAAATCTTTTCTCCCACGACATCGCGGAGGTCTAAGTCCTAGTATTTGAAATAAAAATATTTAAATATTTAAAATTATGAAGAAGTTGTAAAATTTTTTAAATATTATTCGAAAAATGGTATAAGTTTCATAGTAAACAATTATTTTCTTACTTTTTTAATCACTAATATTTGTATGGATAAAATTATAAATATTCATTATGCAAATAAACAACTATATACCTACTTATTTGCATAATGAGTTTTTATTTTTGTTATTAAGCAAAAACGTTTTTGCGTTTTGTAATGCGGTTATGCAAATTTTTTTGATTGGCAAAGTTTTTGCATAATCACATTAGAAAACGCCATTATGCAGTTACCAAAATTAGAACCTTAGTTTTTAGCAAAAGAAGTACAGAAGATACGGTTGACCGCGTAAAGTATGCTCTGCAGCAGTTAACAGAAGCCTTATTATACCAACGTTGTGTTGGTCCAGTGGTAAATCTCCCAGGTGGAGGTACTGGATTCGACGCCCGTTGGGAGGGATCTCTTCTCCGAAGGAGATGAATTTAATCTGGTGTGAGTCCCGCCTCTGAGAGATATAGGTTCTTCGGACTTGAACTTCCAGATATTCAAAAAAAAAAAAAAAAACAGAAGCCTTATTATCTTGTAAAGGTTTATTCATATCATTCACGGCAAAGTGCCTTATTTATACAAGGATCTCAATAACCTAAAACCATAAACTGACTTATATATGTCAACATATACAATAGCCCATATAGGCCCAATAAACTCCATGTTCGTTTTAAAACGATCGATTTCAGCTTCCTCTGGCGACCTTGAGCAAGTATTTGGTTTTACCCCAGATCATGATTTCGATGACGAACAAACATTCACAACATTAAGAAACAGTTCCTTGTAGCTTTCACAAGATCCATTTACGATAGATCTAATAAGAACAAAAACGAATGACCTATGCACAAACAGATTAGACAAACGTACGTACGCATGTGATCTCTGGCTATACCTCAAAAATCTCTTCCACGATAACAAGGTATCTAGATCTTTCGACCTTGAGAGACGACAACAAAACTTCGTACGCTCAAAATTGGGAATCTTTCGGCGTATGGTTATTGCCAGCAGTTAATGTCACTCTCCGATTTTCTGGGCCAACGTTGAGTCACCAGAAAGAGGTTATTGAGCAGATGTTCGAATTTTAAGAGAATTATACATACTAAAGTATCGAATACGGCCCAATTTCAGTCATGCGTTATATTTAAAGCCCACTAACTTTTCCGCAAGTTACTTGGAAGTGTATATTATTAGTACGGATGTTCCCAATAATATTATTATTGTAGCTCTATCAGAAAAAGGTGGAGGGATTTTGCTTGTTTTGGTAATTGCATATTCTCACATTCAAGCTCAAATTTCGATCTCATTTTGGATAGAATGATCATACCGCGGTTCACACTCTTGACATTATAATGAACTTATTTCGTATCCTCATAACACTCTTTTCACTTTTCGCTCAACCGTGTGTGTCTTCTTTGCGTACCTTTCTTATTCTATTAAATTTTTGATGCCAATGACAAAAAGCTAGATTTATTATAATGGAAACAAGAAGATTTGTCATGTGGTTTCCGTGAACATTGAAGAGTTAATGATGAGGAGAATTCCAATCGACAACTTAGGGCCTGATTGGCAAGTGCTTTACAGTCTTTACAAAAGCAAAAAATTTCTAAAGATTTGAAATACATCCAATCAAGCTTTAGAAGCTTTGGCTTTCCTTTTTTTTTCACAGCCATAATATTTCCTTAATTCACTTTTTTGGCTGTAAAAAGCTTTTTTTCCTAAAACACATAATTTTTAACTTTCCAAAATTTTAAATTCTACAGCCAAAATTCTACAGCAATAAAATCTACAGCCATAGCAAATAAACCTACAGTCATATATCTACAGCAAAAAATGTAAAGCTACAGCTGTTACCAATCAGGCTCTAAAGCTTTTCTTGTCCTTTTTTTTTTTTTTTTTCCTCAAAGCTTTTCTTGTCCATAATAACAGAAATTGATGAGGATGAGAAATAGAGAAACATGTTAAAGAGAGTGACGTTTGCGTCATTTTTGGGAGAAAAAGTCGGAGTTTCTCATAATCCAATATCTCTCTATCTCCATTGCCTCACGTCCCACCACTCTTCTTGCTATTAAATCCCACCTGACCATATATTCAATTTATGACCAACATATATTAATTATTCTATGTTATTATAAATTTAGTTTTTTGATTATTATACAATAAAACGAACTAATTAAGAAAAATTAAATTACATATAGTTTATTAATTTTTAATCTAATTTTTAATTAGTTTAGTTATATATATATAATTAGTTTTAAAAAGTGAATTAGTTTATATATATATATATATATCATTACATATATCATTACACATATAACAAAATTTTAATTTAATTTTTAAGAATATATATATATATATATATATATATATATATATATATATAACTAATTAATCCAACAATACTTTGTGATTAATCCAAGTTTTAAGGTTTTCATTTTTTGTGATTAACAATTTTTTACAACTCTAAACCAAATAATATTCAATTATTTTCTTGAAGTTTACAAATCATCATCATTAACTGATGAAAAAATGCATTAAAAACTTAAGAAAAAATATATATCTTTTTGAAACAATTTTTTTCTAAAACTTGGATTAATTAGGAAGAGAGAAAGTAGTATAATATATAACAATTTTTTTTTTTGATCTACACTTTGTCATTATTGATTCCTTAAATAATCTTAGGATTCAAATTTTTAAGAAATAAAAAGTAAATATTGAAAAGTCTTAAAAAGTATGAATTAAATTAGATATTAAGGTTTAAAATAAAATTTCATATATTATATCTTTTAATATTTGTTAATATATTTAACTATAGATCCGGATATCGGATTTTTAAAATTATAATATTTGAATTCAGATTTGGTGTGGACAGATCCGAGGTTACACTGTATTTAGATCCGGAATCTATAGATATCCGACTTTTAAGTACAAATTAAAGTAAAAACGATCTCGGATAGGATTTTGGATCATGGCTAATAGTTTTATCCCTCACACACAAAGACACATTTTTTTTGTTAAAGCACAAATACACATTATATATAGATAGAATTAGGTCAATAATTTAAAGTTTTATGGAACGAGATGATAAATAATTAAATATATAAACAGAACAAGAAATGTTACGTACCTGTCACCAACAAGTCTGTACATTCTAAAGATGAGATCTTCTTCTTGTTCGGTCATATTGATAAACTCCCATTTCATACTACACACTTCTGCATTTTATTTAGTATATTCAATCAACTATTAGTGAAAACGTGTTGGTGCACAAGTAAAAAAAAAAGTGAAAACGTGAGAAAATAATTTAACGTTACTGGTCAAATGTATGAGTGTAGACTAAAAGGAAGAACAATTAGATATCAACTAAATCAAAGAGAAACCTTCGGAGTTATGAGTGAACTTGGGTTGCTTACGACCCTGAAGGCGGCGAAGACGGTTTGTGTTATCCATTAGTATTGGAAAAAGATGAACACAAATATTAGAGAGAAACTGAAAAATTGGAGAATGCTAGGGAAGAAAAAGATGTGAGGTTACAAAACTATGTAGAGAACTTGCGTAGAAGAGGAAAGAGAGAGACACAAAGAGAGGTCCCCAACTCTACTCCTTGACCACTTACCTTTATGTAGGGAGACTTGTTGATTGGCCTGGACAAAATATAGATAACTATATAACTTACTGAAGCTATTAAATGCTAAAACTAATTTTCAAAACTAAAGCAAATCACAGATACAGAAACTTAAAATTATGGATATCCATTCCGCTTTTTTAATAATAATACATGCATATAATATATGTGTGTTTATAAGATAAGTAGACATATAAACGATATATTTATTATGTATTTGATGATAAGAAAATTAATATATTAAAGTTCTTGTAAAATTATTATATTTTAAACATTAAGAAACAAAATACTTCAAAGTGAATTTTAAAATATTTTTTTCTATTGGAAATAAATATTTTTGCAATTTTTATGTTGTTAATTTTGATTATTTTGCAATTTTTTTTATCCTTTTTAATAACTATGATGGAACGAAGTGGATAAATAAATTTTAACAGAAACTCGTAAACTAAAAGATAGGAAACGAAGTGGAAATCCCTCTCTTTTCTGATAGGAATCCTAAATAGTAAATACATAAAAAAAGTGAACGAATTATAGATACCACAAAAAGATGCCTCGCTAGTTGTTGATCCACACTCATACACAACACAATATGTGACAAAAGGAAAGATGTAGACGAATAAAAATTGTTTTGGAATTGGCATTTTAAGCGAAAACTTTCGCAGTTTTGAGAATGAGTAGGCAAAGGCACTAGTTCTAATTTAGCATGTTATCATAGTGAACCAATGTATGTATGTTTTCAAACTCTATTAATTGCATGGATCTCTAGCTCAAAACCATCTGAAAATCCACTAGTTTATATTATTAGTATTTTAGGTCTTATCTTATTTCTAACGTGAAGTTTGAAACATATTTCTTACTCGAGTTAAATATTTGGATTATTATTAAAAAAAAGCTGGAATACAGAAAACAGTGAAGTACATTTCTCTCTTCCTATTATTATTGGAGAGATAACAATAGGACTGCGGTACGAGCTAGAAGTTCTACGACAGCTTCTAGGTTTGGGCGTTCAGGTAGGTATTTAGATAAGTTCGCTTCCACTCGGCACTCGGTTTCGGTTTTAGAATGTAGAATCTAATCGGATATTTTAAAATTTTGGTTCGGTTTTAGTTCGGTTCCAGTTCTTTCGGTTTTGAAGTTTAGTATCCATTCGGATATTCTGTTTGAGATATTTTCGGACATTTCGGTTATTTTTGGATATTTACGGATATTTTTTTAGTTATTCATGTACTTTTTGGTATTTCTATATAATTCTGGAAATTTTTGATTATTCGATCTAAAAATAACTAATAATATTTCAGGTATTTTCGGATACCCGAAATATTTTACTTCGGTATCAGTACGATTACGGTTCTAGAATTTATGATCCATTTGGATATTTTCAAATTTTTGTTTAGTTTCGGTTCTTTTTATTTTGGTTCCGATTGGGTTAATTTTCCCAAGCCTAAACGCTTCAATGAAAGAACATGATGGTGAACTGAAAAGTATTTTACAAAGGGAAAACTATCATATCTACCACAAAGATGTGGGTCCCTTATGCAAAATACCACATTCTCAAAAATTTGTGAGATATGCCACATTCTTGTGGTAATGAGGACGTGATCTGACGAAAATGCCCCCATGAAGGAAGGAGTATTTTGGTTTGAGAAATCTAAGAAATGTGCCACACAATGTAGCAATTCTTACCAAAATTGCCACAACCCACAAATCCTTTTCAATTGTGCCACAATCCAATTTATAACCCAACTTGCAAAGTCCAATTTACCCTTTAGAGAGAAAGCTTTTTTGTTCAATCTCCATTCCTCTCATTTCTTTCTCATCTCTCTTTCTCTCTCTTTTTTTCTCTAAAAAATGAAGCTCAATCTCCCTAGATATAAGAGTTTATCACGTTTTCGATCTAGGAATACATCGTTGGCGATTTAGCAAGATTAAAAATCTGGGTCTGAATCTGGTTTGGAAAGTGGAAGCGAATCTAAATCTGAGAAGGAAGAAGATACATGTGGACAACATTTCTTGTCTACCAAAATTTTTGAATTATTTCGTTTGGAATTCTTGTCCACCAAATTTCTTTGAAGTCTGTTTGTTTCAAATGTGGACAATATTTGTTGTCCTCCAAATATCTTCTCAATCTATTGTTTCAAATGTGGACAACATTTCTTGTCTACCAAAATTTTCGAAATATGCCGTTTTGAATTCTTGTCCACCAAATTTCTTTAAAGTCTGTTGTTTTAAATGTGGATAATATTTGTTGTACACCAAATATCATCCCAATATGTTGTTTCAAATGTGGATATTATTTTTTGTCTACCAAAATTTTCCGAAACAAAGTTTTGTCCACCAAATATCTGATATTTAGATATTTTCGTCTGAGGGTATTTTTGTCTTTGTCTGTCTGCCATAAAGTGGAAAAATGACAGATTGAGAAAAGAAAATTTTTTGTGGCAATTTGTATAAGTTTTGCTACAGTAAATGACACATTAGACCAAAATTTCTTTTGGTTTCTATACATGTTGAGCTGTTAAAAAAAAAAGAGGATGCTTTTATAAAAAAAAGAGGGTGAAAAGTAAAACAAAAAAATCAGTTAATAATAATAAACGTATTTTTCTTGCGTATTGAAATAAGTCACAAAACAACAAAAAAAGCATTTTGTGTAAAATTAAAGTAAAAAAGTAAGAAATTAATTACAGGCATCAAAGTGGCAAATGCAAGCCCTTCGGTTTCACATCTGTTATTTGCGGATGATAGTTTATTTTTTTGCAAGGCTAACAAAGACTAATGCGGGGTAATTTTAGGGATTTTAAAGAAGTATGAAGAGGTCTCGGGATAGCAGATTAATTTTTTAAAATCCTCGATTCAGTTTGGACACAAAATAGATGATGATATCAAGGAAGAAATCAAATCTACCTTAGGTATCACTAATATCGGTGGTATGGGTTCTTATCTCGGATTACCGGAGAGTTTAGGGGGCTCCAAGACAAAAATTTTCTCTTTTGTCAGAGATAGACTACAAACAAGGATTAACGGATGGTCGGCTAAATTTTTATTAAAAGGGGGAAAAGAAGTAATGATTAAATCGGTAGCTGCAGCACTACCAACTTATGTTATGTCGTGTTTCAGACTACCGAAAACAATCACTTCTAAACTTACTAGCGCGGTAGCAAATTTTTGGTGGAGCTCAAATGGTGACTCCAGAGGTATGCACTGGATGGCTTGGAACAAATTGTGCGATAGCAAATCGGAAGGGTAAATAGGATTTCGGAATGTGGACGATTTTAATTCAGCTTTACTAGCAAAACAATTATGGCGGTTGATTACGGTTCCAGATTCTTTATTCGCAAAAGTGTTTAAAGGACGGTATTTTAAGAAAACCAATCCTTTGGAAAATATAAAATCATATTCCCCATCATATGGATGGCGGAGTATATGTTCAGCTAGATCTCTGGTTAATAAAAGACTTATTAAAAGAGTCGGTTCTGGGACATCCATCCTGGTGTGGGAGGATCCCTGGATTCCAGCTCAATTCCCGAGACCAGCAAAAAGTAATGGGTCAGTTGCTGACCCATCTTTAAAAGTTAAAGACCTTATAGATAGTCGGTCGAACTTTTGGAATATTGATTTCTTAAAAGCGATGTTTACTCCAGAAGATGTCGCTCTAATCAGCGCCATACCTGTGGGTGCGCCAACAAAAGAAGATTCTTTGGGTTGGCATTTTACAAAATCCGGAAAATATACAGTGAAATCGGGATATCATTCTACACGGATGGAAAAGTCGGAGACTAATTTAAACGTTTTTGGCCCTAACATCAACATGTTAAAAGCATATTCTTGGCAAGTGCAGTGTCCACCTAAGATACGCCATTTCATATGGCAAATCTTAACGGGATGTGTACCGGTCATGGAAAATTTAAGGAAAAGAGGAATTGTTTGTGATACGGGATGTGCCAGATGTGGCGCATCTAGGAAACAATCAATCATACACTCTTTCAGTGCCACCCGGCAAGGCAGATTTGGGCACTTTCACAGATTCCTACGGCTATGGGGATTTTCCCCACGTAATCAAATTTGACGAATTTGGATCACTTATTTTGGAGAATACCTACGGAAGTTGATTCGTCAGCCTTCCCATGGATTATTTGGTATATTTGGAAAGCAAGGAACGAAAAAATCTTTGAAAACATAGATACAGACCCAGTAGAAGTATTACGATTAGCGGAAAAAGAGGCACAATTGTGGCAGTCAGCTCAAATTGAGCTCCATAATGAAAATCATGGTCTGTGAAATTGGTAAATCAAGATCGAATAAGGGATATTCCACTTGAGGCGGAGTATTCGGGATACCATTGTTTTGTGGATGGATCATGGAAAGAAAGTGATAAGTTCTCTGGTACAGGCTGGTTCTGTACATCGTCAAATGGAGAGCCGTCAACCATGGGAGTTGCGAACCTCTGTAGAAGTCTATCTCCACTACATGCCGAAGTCGAGGTCCTTCTCTGGGCGATGAAGTGTATGATTGGTGCAGATAATCAAGAGGTAGCGTTCTTTACAGACTGTTCAGACCTGGTGAAGATGGTGTCTTCTCTAACCGAATGGCCGGCGTTTTCAGTGTATTTGGAGGAATTTCAGAGCGACAAGGAGGAGTTTTCATCTTTTTCTTTATCTTTAATTTCTCGTAGGGCTAATGTTAAGGCGGATAACCTGGCACGAAAAGTTCGTACAGAACCGCTTCATATCACCTATGTAAATAACATTCCTCAGGAATGGCTCTTTTGAGCTCTAATTAATTGCGGATGACAAAAAAAAAAGTAAAAAAGTAAAAAAGTAAGAAAGTTATATCGTGAACAATAATTATAGTGTAAATATAATTGAAATGACTAAGTTTGTCCATTAAAATAAAGTAATGACATCGGGTATAGATATCGTGGACAACATATATAGTGAATATACATAGCGTGGACCAGAATATCGTATATACAGACAATAGACAATAATATTATGTTGTGGACAATAATTATACCGTGAATATACATGGCAACTAAAAAATCATATATAGAGATTGTAGACAAAAATATTGTGTTGTGGACAATAATTATACTG